TCGGATTCAGGACGTCGAAAGCATAAAATATGACTTTTCGGAAATTTGGAATTTTTGGTCAAAATCAAAGTCAACGGGTTTGACCGGCAATTTCGAGGTTTTCGGGTTCGAATTTCAAAAAACGGACAGCAGAATCGGATTTGGAACGTCGAAAAATGTCAGGATATGTATACTCGGTCGAAGTCAAAGGTCGTTTAATGCCCGATCAAAGCCGGTCAAAGTTTTGGTCAACAGGGGTCAACGCCGGTCAACGGTCAACGGGTTGGGTTAACGGGTCGGGTCGGGTTGTGATCTGTCAAACCGGTCAAAACAGTTCCAAAACGATCACTTTTCCCTTCCCCACGCGCAGTGGGGGCGCGTGAGCAGTGCTAAATTCTCGAAAAAATTCATAAAAATTATTTTGAGCAATTTCGAGATACTTACAAAGCTCAGTTCACAATTTTGAACGACAGAGAGCTCGATTTCAACAAATCGAAAACTTTGACCGCTTCACCTCCTCACGCGCCGCCGTTGACGGAGACCAAGGATGACACCGGCAGACTCGAAATGATGCAAGAAACACGATGGTGCGGGAGGTGTCGTAAACGGATGCTCGGATCGTCGTGAATCGACGAAAAACCAATTGAAATTGAGTTATTACCGACAATACTTTCGACTGAAATTAACGACGAACGGCGACGATTCACGATAAAAGCTTTGAGGGGTTTTGTTCCTCGCTCGACAACGAATACGATGTTGGTTTCGACTTGTCGATCGGAGGTCGGTCGACGAGTAGATCGGAGTTGAAAGTTGGTTGATCGGAGAGGGAAAACTGGAAATTTTTTCCAGAAACATACGAAAATGGGGGTTTATATCATCTCATAAATAAAAATGGTTAAACCAAGAGTTTAGCCATTGAACTTCCTGCACTTCATAAAACGGTCTACCAACTTTAAAATTTTATAATTTAACCCACTGTTTCTTTCAAAATACCAAATTAAATCCATCACTTTATAATTTCTAAATCTTAGCCCCTAAATTGGGGTGTTACAGAGGTCACATTCTGGGTGGTAGTAAGGGACAGGGGAATGGTATCATTGGGAGCTGGCTCGGTTTCAACCTCCATTAAAGGGGCAAAACGAGAGGAACTAGGAGTCACATTATTCTTCTGAATGGCAGGTTGATTGTCTTTACGTTGCACTCTTTGTTGTCTTTTCTCAACGAGCATCCAAGGGCCGTAAGGTTCCTGCAGGACAGATAGAGTGGGGGGTGGTACATGAGCGGGATCATTATTTGCATAGCTAGTACTATTATTTGATATATCCGGGAATAGTTCATTCGTGCGTCCGTATATGCCACAGTTAAAGTAGACAACATGTAGAACCTCATACTCAACAAATTGAATTCGACCATTGATTTCTAGCTTTGATATGAGCGGCTTATTCAAGTTCAAAGTGGCAACCATTCAAGCGAAGCACCCTTTTCTGCAATTATCGGTTTGATAATCAATCTTTATCACGTTACCAATCCTTTCACCAATGGCTTGAATCAGGCTCCTTCTATACCAATGGGGAGACCGGGAAGTTTCACCCAATCCATGATGCAGCTTGGATGAGATTGAGAGGGGGCGAATCTATAGACCAGGGCTCAACCGTAAGATAATGGTCGAAGATTACCCACAGACCATCGGTTAGAACCGATAGGTAATCCGATCTTATAGAGAATTTAAGGAGAAAGTGGTTATTCTCAATGTCAATTAGCTTGAGGGAGTGCTAGGTTTCCACTTGGAGAGGATCTGATTGTGGAGTGTGTTGGATCCAATTCTTCGGCCAAGAATTTTGACGACAAGAGTGAGGTCCATACTTTTGAGTGCAATGTTGTGAACCCAATCAGGAAATTTAATAAAAGGAATTCCGTTTGACTCACCGACTTCAACATAATCTTCAAATAAGTCAATGTCATTGTCATCAAGCGAGATCAGGTCTTCTTCGTGTGAATCTGTGTTGGGTCCAACGACTTTATCCCGGTAAGATGGAGGAGGTGGGGCGCTACTGGTATCATCGCAGTCCATAGAGGAAGGGGGAACGAGGGATTATCAGGCGACACTTCATCGCGCTGATGCTAGCGCTTGGGGGTCTGCTCATCGACTGTGGCCTTGAGGGATAGAAATCATAGGTTTAGGGCAAAAGATTTAAGAAAGTGGTTATGATCTTAGCCACCTTATATATATCACGTCTAAATTGTGATAATAATTTTTAAATTGTTTTAAGTAAATTTTTAATCATTTATTTATGCAATTATATTTTATTATCCAATTAGGATGTACTGTTGACAATTTTAAAAAGAAATATTAACTGAAATGTTTAGTGTAATTTAAATTTTATAAAAAAATTAATTATTAACTTTTATTGAATTATTTATTTAACTATTAAATTTAATTAATTATTATTATTTAAAAAAAATCACGTCGAGGTGGTGAGAGAAGGAAATCCACCCACCTATCCTATGTGATTCCTAAACAGCAGCTGGCGGGCATATTACCAACAAATAATTAAGGTAAATTACGTATTTAGTATTTAAATTATTAATTTTAGTCTGTTTAATATTTAAATTTAAATATTTATTTTATTGCATCTCTTAAAAGTTTAACGTTATATTTTAAAAAATTAGTAGTTTAGGTACTAAAATATATTAAAATTGATAGTTTAGTTATTAAAAGCATTAAGTTTTTAATAATTAGATACTAAAATGAAATAAAAATTAAACATCAGATATGATTTTAAAAAAAACTAAAAATTTAAATATTAAAAAAATAACAATTTAAATATTACTAAAATGAAATAAAAATTGATAATTTACCCAATAATTAATTAGTTGTATATAATATGTGTGTATATATCATTACCTTGACTATCGAATTAACATAAAGCAAACAAGAATCTCCAGCTTGGCCTAGGAGGTGTATGCTCCCAGTTCCAGCCACGTAAGTGTTGTAGGTTGAATTCATAAAAAAGGGTAACATATACAAATGGTCACTGAACTTTTTAAATGATTGTATTTAGATAAAAAAATATAGATCCCAAAAATTGAGTGACCGACGGGATAGTTTACCCAATAATTTAATATGATTTATTTAAAAACATCAATTGACATCATAAATATGGTCATTTTATACAATTAATTTTTTCTTCACATTTTAAAAAAAAATAAAGAGAACACCAAAAACTAGGGGTGTTCATTCGGTTAAAACGGTGGTCGACCGAATCGAACTACCCTTAATCGAATTAACCGAACTTTTTTTTAACCGTTAACCGAACCGAACTTTTTTTTCAAACATATTAACCGAACCAAATTAATTTCGGTTAATTCGGTTAATTTTCGAATTAACCGAATTTTTTTTAAAATTTTCTAATTTATATAAAAATTAAATGTTTTTAATTCAAAAAAAGTTTATAATTAATTTAAATAATATATAATTATAAAATAAAAATTTCAGATAAATTTTTTTAATTAATTAATATTGATTTAGATTTAAAAGTTATTGGATCTTAAATTATTAATTGAGTTTTAAATTGTTTGGGCTTAGCCCAAATGTTATATATAATATATTTAATATTTTTTAATTAAAAAAACAGTTTACAATTAATTTAAATAATATATAATTATAAAATAAAAAATTTACATAATTTTTTTAATTAATTAATATTGATTTAGGTTTAAAAGTTATTGGATCTTAAATTATTAATTGGGTTTTAAATGGTTTGGGCTGAGCCCATATATTATATATAATATATTTAATATTTAAAATTTAATTTCGGTTAACTCGGTTAATTAACCGAATTCGAACCGAATTAACCGTTAACCGAATTCTAAAAATTTTCTTAACCGTTAACCGATCGAACTAATTCGGTAACCGAACCGAATTAACTAAACTAATTCGGTTCGGTCGGTTAACCGAATTAATTCGGTTATTTGAACACCCCTACCAAAAACTGAATGATATTTTAATATTTATTGTCTTAGAATTTTTAAAATATATATTATCACTGCAAGTATCTTAAATTAATAAAAATAAATAAAGAGAAAAAAAAAAGATATGCTACATCTTACATGTTTAAAGAAATAAATGAAAAGAAAATAATATCAAGATTAAAAATAACTGACCCTTATTCTCATATATAATGGGGTAAGGGAGAGGTAGGATAGTAGACTGCCCCCAACGCCAGATTAAGAGCAACTTCCGTGGGAGACCTTCAAATTATGAATTGCGGTGTAAGTACTAAATCCTAAAAAAAGTTAGTGAATGAACCTCTTTTTGAATTTAACAAAAAGAAGAAAGAAAATGTACCAAATCCATGTAGTATTTGAATTTTTAAATTTTGGTTCCTTTAGTTTTAATTTTAAGAATTTAGCCCATCTATTTATGTAATTTAGAAATTGAAGTCCAATCAATAATATTATTAACTTACTTCTATTAAATTTGAATAATTAATTTCCAAGCACGAACCAACTTACCTCAGTGGTTAAAGGAATCGTTATTGTTCCTTGAGATAACGGGTTCAAGCACCAGTGACTACAACAGGATGATTGAGCGTTCATTGTCAAATAATTGAGAATATTTAGAATATATATTACTTTGTAATCACTTTAGATAAAAAAATCTATTAACAATATTATCAAACTTTAATTTTTAAATAAGACAAAGTAGAGAATCAAATACCTAAAAATATAAGCCAGATGGATTAAATTTCAAAGTTCCTAAAACTAAAGAGACTGGAACATAATAAGCCAAAAGAAATTTGAATTTACTCTTACTATGAACCGGCTGGGTCGATACTTGTGATGGAGCTATAAGATAAATTTACATTAAAATACATCCCCAACTATCCTCCTACCTTACTCCACATCGCCATTAAGAAAGTTATCAGGGATAACATAGTCATTTCACCACAAAACCTCAAAATGCCCCCCAAAATTTCAACGAAACACTTCACCGGAGCGCCAACCTCCAGCTTTACTTTTGTCATCACAAGAAGAGTGAGATCTACCAAAAAAAAAATCCAAAGGGTTAAAAGAAAATCCTAATTCACTTTCCTTCTCAATCTCCTCGTTTTGATTCGATTCGAATCGAGAGCTTAATAACGATGGGCGATTTCAACCTCGCTCTGGTAATCGTCGCCATAGTCGTTTGTGTGCTTGTGTTCATTTTCAATGTCTACCTCCTCGTTAATTACCAGCACCCGGACGACGCCAACCAAGCCTATTTTCCCAAATTCGTCGTCGTTTTGGGACTCTCCGTTGCCGCCATTTCCATACTCATGTTACCGGCCGATGTCGCCAACCGGCAGGCTTGTAGACACGCGATATACAACGGCGCGTGCAATCTCACCTTGCCTATGAAAGATCTCTGGCTCGCCATTTTCATCGTCGACGCCGTGCTCGTTTTCTTCGTAATTCCCTTTGCAATGTTCTTCTACGAAGGGGACCAGGATAAGTATGTGCTTCTAGGACTTTGATGGTTAAAAATTATTTGATTATATTGATGCATTGCTCTATTCTTATTTTTTTTATCTATTTGGTTTTGATTGCAGGAGTGTTGGCAAACGGATAAAGAGCGCGTTGCTATGGGTGGTGACAACTGCAATAGTTTGTGCTCTCTTGCTTGGCATACTATATGGTTGAGTTATCCTTGTGTCTCTTTTTCAATAATTTCATTAGCATTTCTCTTTAAATCAAAACTTTTTGCGTGCCATTGAAGTACTGAGGTTTAAGTTAATTTAGGAATAGGACCATGATATTGAGCATTGCAATACTCTGTTAATGTTTTGAATATAAATTCTGATTTAAGGTGTTTTTATGATTAGAAGATCTTAGCAAATATTTTAAACGGATTTGCGCGCTAGAGCTAGTGCTTCCATTGGGCGGATAACTAAACAACTCGTTTTGCATTTCTTGAGATTGTTTGTTTGCATACTTTCTGGCTATAGTATAGAACTCATACCAATGATTTTATCACTTTGAATGGTATATCAGGTCTAGTTGGAAAGGTAGATTTTTCTGTTAGGCACCTATCTTCTGCGACTACTAATTTCCCAAGCAATTGGGATTTCACCAAGAGTCATCCATGTATTGGTGGAGCTGGAGCACAGTCGGTTAGTAATCCATTTACCTATTTAAATTGCAATGAATCCTTTCTTTGTTCTGTAGAATATTCTTGTTTGTCTCATTATTTTACCTTCTCTTCCATCATATTCCTTTTGTTACAGTGCTCTGCATATACTGCAAGTGCTTCATCTGAAAAAACATGGACTATGCGTACTACATTTCCAGAATATGTTGTCGCTCTTGCTACAATTGTTGGATCTCTTCTTTTCTCGGTAAATTCTTTGCAAATTTTAATATATGTTATATTTTGTTTAGAATTTAGATAGCAACTCTAGCTTGTAAATTTTTACATTTTTTTTCTGTTGGAATATATTGCTTACATCTTGAAATTTTTGGTTAGATATTTGGTGGTGTAGGTATTGCTTGTTTGCCTCTTGGGCTTATTGCTTCATTTATCCACCGTCCAAAAGCTGTCATCACTCGCTCACAGTATATTAAGGTTGTTATTTATATTGCTTATGATGCAGCATCCTGCCATATGAAACCAGGCAATGCATTAGGAAGATTGTATTTACATTTCAAACTGTATTTTCTCATAGTTTTAGTTGTAATTGGTATTGTAGGAAGCAACTGAACTTGGTAAAAAGGCAAGAGAACTGAAGAAAGCAGCTGATGCACTTCATCAGGAAGAAAGAAGCGGTTCTAAGGGTAGAAAGTGGCGTAAAAATGTTAAGGCTGTGGAAAAGGTCCATGCAAAGCCCTACATTTCCATTTTCCATTGAATTATATTTTGTGCTATTCTATATGATAACAATTATGTTGACCAGCCAGCTTTATTAATCAGTAGTAGACCCCTCTAGTTCTGTGTTATTTTTCAGTTTGAGTGTTCCTATTTAACTTAAAGATCTGATTAATTCAACAGTTTGGCTTGTGTTATAATAGTTATTATTCTTAGATAAGTTATATTTTGACCATGATATTAACTTGTGGCATTTTCTTTTGTTGTTTCTTAGTAAAGAGTTGAAGTTAAATAGTGAACATTGATTTAGGGGAAGTTAAAATAGTCATCTAATGCTGTTTTCACATACTTTGGCATTGTTCAGTATCCATTGCTATTGATACTGTTACGTTCTTGATTAAAATTTTCAGGAGTTGCTTCAGCTGGAAGAAGATGTAAAGCTATTGGAAGAGATGTACCCTCAAGGAGAAAAGGTATCTAATATGAATTACTGGACTTCTCGTATGCATGACACTTGGTTATGGTCCCATCCCCCTTTTCCGCTCCTCCCCCTTCTGGTATTAATTCCCTTGCCATGACATTTCAGGCTGAAACATCCTGGGCCTTGACTGTTCTTGGATACTTGGCAAAACTTATTTTGGGAATCCTAGGGTGAGTGACAATTCCTTTTCTTTTTACCTATAGACTTTTTTTTAATCCAGAGCTGTATTATTGTTGTGAATTAGCAATTGAGTTTGGATAATTTTATGCTCTTTATGGATGTCAGTGCTTAATTTGAATAAGCTATAATTACAGTATATTTTAAAATGTGAGCTTTATTTATGCATCAAATAGAAATAAATTGATGCTGTTCTTAGACTAAGGGGTTATAATAGACCTGTTGAGACATTTGCATCCATTAAACTGATGATATTGGCCTCTGACTTACTGAAAGGAGTTATATAACTTGCAATTTGCCCTGCACTGTGTTAGGTTAATTGTTTCAGTGGGATGGGTTGCTCATATTGTCATATACCTTCTGATTGATCCACCACTGCATCCCTTACTGAATGAGGTTTTCATCAAGCTGGATGATATATGGGGTAATTTGTAAACCATTTTGAAGCTTGTTTCTTCCTATTTTGCTTTTAAACTTTAAGGAGATATATTGTATATTTTGTCAGGTCTTTTGGGTACTGCAGCATTTGCATTCTTTTGCTTCTACCTTCTGCTTGCTGTGATAGCCGGTGCAATGATGCTTGGTCTGAGATTAGTTTTCATTACTATTCATCCTATGAAGTAATGAGTTTTGTGTTGATGCTATTTTGGTTAATTTCCTATGATTGGGTAAATCACCAGCTACCTGATATATGTTTAATGGACTTCCATAGGTGGGGAGGTACACTGATGAACTCTTTTCTGTTCAATGTGGCACTTATTCTTTTGTGCTCAATAAGGTTGGTGACTTTGCTCATTTATTCAAATCTTGTTTCGTGTTATGTCAAGGCGCCTGCTATTAGATCATCATTGAAATTGTATCTCTGTTTTTGCGTGGTTTTTGAAAATTGTATTAGGGAATTATTTGCTTGCTATATAAATCGAACTTGTTTTCAACATTCTGTATTTGCAACTTCAGTGTCATACAGTTCTGTTCTACAGCATTTGGGTACTATGCTCAAGCAACCGCTGCCCAGGAAATATTCGGCCATACTTTGCAGTCTCTTCGTGGAATTAAATATTTGTACAAGTGAGTAAATAATGTTTTCAAATCCCAGTTTTATCCTAACCAGACATGTAGGTATTTAATTGTACCCTACTGATGATTGTACGGTCGTTACAGGTACAATGTGTTCCAAATCGCATTCCTCGCTCTAGCAGGGTTGACCTTCTTATATTATGTTGCCTTTGTAAGTTTCAGCTACCTTTAATTCTCTCTCTTCTTTTCACCTTTTTTTTCTTCTGAGGAATTGTCTCCGTGTGCTCGTTAGATTTCAAGGTCCGATTTCTGTGTTCTGTTTGGACATTTCAGGGCTGGAGAAGAAAAAAGCCTAGCGGCAAATTCCAACTTTTGTCCTAAGAATGTTTTCCGTAGAAGATGATGCACTCTCTCGAGGCATCAGAATTCTCTGTTTATCATCCCTTTCGGAGTGCGTTTCATATGCTCGGACGACCACAGCCTGATTTTGCCGTAACGTGGAAGGTAGGTAAATCCCGTCCGAGTTAAATTTGGTTTGCCTGAAATAGGAGCACGAGAGTGCTGCTAGTCTGCTACTATTCTTTTAATGCTTGCTTTCCTCGCCTTTTGTATGCATGTATGCACTAATTTTTTAATTTGATTAATGCTTCCACATTTTGGCTTGGGCATCTAATTGAGGTATCCTTGAGAGTTGACTCGACTCGTGGGAATTGGGTTTGTCGAACTTGTTTTCATGCATTTGTAACGACAAAAAAAGAATTAATGAACAAATTCGTTGTTTGGTTGGAATCATACGAAGACTCTCCAATAATGCCTCACTAAAGGAGACAAGATTTTATGTTATTTTATGTTAAGATCGTGAATTTTTAAGAAGTTATATTAACGTTTTGGGTAAATTATAAATTTAGTAATTGAGTTATCTTATCACTCTTATTTTATTCACTGAATTTTAAAACTATTAATAATTAAACTTTATATATTTAATTTTTATCACTTTAAGATGATATGAATTATTTTGTTATTATTTTCATATAAAGTTATATTTTATTAATACTTTAATATCATATAGGATTATGATAAAAAATAAATTTACAAAGTCTAAATTATATCTTTAAAATTTAGACTCAAGCCTTAAGCCTCCAAATTATTTTTAGAGAAAATAATCTCAGTGATCGAAAATGTCTTATAATATACGATTTTGACCAACTTTTTTTTCGATTTTTTTTCGATTTGCCAAAATGACCAACAAAATCGTAACGCGATAATACAAAATCGTAACGCGATTCTGACTATCGCAACGCGATTCTCCAAATTTGTTGCGGTAGTCGAAGGTATTGTATTTGTTTCTTAAGAATTTTCTCTAAAAAGATAATATTCGCGCAGACGTGTCGAAGACACGTATTACCACGAACACGACCACGACCACGACCACGACCACGACCCGACCCGACCCGAGACGGGACGGCGGCGGCGGCGGCGGTGCGCGAGAGTCCCCCTTGTTCTCTTTCACTCAACAAGGAAGTGGAAAATCCAAGCCTTAAATACCCATTCCCAATAGTGTTTCCAATACTATGTGGGATTGATCATTGCAAACACTTGGGAATCTTTTACACTATCGCAACACATTCTTTCTTGTTTCAAACTCCACGTGAATTTGGAATAGTTAAAATGTAAACTTATTTTGGATTTTTCACTATCGCAACACTTTTTCACTATCGCAACAACACGTTTTTCAAACTCTCGCAACACATTTTAACTATCGCAACACATTTTTCAAAATCGCGTTGCGAATCTTACAATCGCGTTGCGAATCTGGATATTCGCGTTGCGAATCTGGATATTCGCGTTGCGAATTTGGAAACTGAGTTGAAAAATTAGAGTTCGCGTTGCGATTTTGTTGGTCATTTTGGCAAATCCAAAAAAAGTTGGTTAAAATCGTATATTATAAGACATTTTCGGTCACTGAGGCTATTTTCTCTTATTTTTAACCTCTAAAGATCAAATTATAACCCCGTCCCATCCTCCCTACCATCAGTGGATGGTGACTCTAGGGTATTGCCAAAAAAACTGAGGGTAAATTATAAATTTGATAATTGAATCTCTCTCTCCTATTTTATTTATTGTACTATAAATCTTTTTATTTTTCTCATTGAACTTAATACATTGAATTTTCCTTGTTACTCAGATGTTTTCTCACTAACGAGGTTATAAATGAGCTTTTATATAGATGCAAAATGACATGGTTTTGGTGAAAATTTTGTTTTTATTTATATATTTTATAAAAATGACATTGTTTTAACACCGTTAACTATTTAACGGAAATTACAAAAAATCCAATGTATTAAGTTCAGTGAGGTGAATTTTTTTAAAGTTTAGTAAGTAAAATAGGAGAGAAAGTAATGTTTAGTGATGAAATTTGTAGTTTACCAAAAATAGAATTCCGAATCTATTTTTAGTTCTAAAGTTGTATATGATTACGTGAGCTATTTTCTACCCATTTATCAACATGGAAATTTGCAGAGCTTGAAGTAACTTCGCAATTAGAAATTGTCCAGCATATTTATGGAATATGACAATTAGCAGCTTGGTTTACATGCAATGCTCAATTGCTTGGAAGAGGAACTAGGATCACCTCTCTATTCACATTTTCTGTAAAGTAAACAGATGCCATAAAAATTTAAAAAAAAAACCGACGCCTAATTATCCTAGGATTTTGCATTTTTCAAACTTTAAAAATTTACTCTTTTCTCTGTTTATTTTTAAAAAATATTTTTTACAAATTCGATTTAAGAATTAAAGTCTTATTGATAACATTATTAGAAAAACAGAGAGACTAAATTTCAGAAGATCGAAGAATACCGAGGATGGTGAGGGCATCCTACTTTGGGTTGTGGTTGGATTTCAAGTTCGAGACGTTTATGGTCTCCCCATCTCGACTTACGAGATCATAGACCGAATCATCTCCGAATTCAATTGGCAATGAGGTGCTGCATAAACTTGGTTCCCAATCTGCCTCTTCCATGGCTTTCAATATCTTTTTAGCCACCAACTTGCTCCCCTCGGAAGAGAAATGGATGCCATCCCTATTATCACGTATCAACTTTTCATTAAGAAAATACGGACATGGACGAAGTGAAAACAAAAATGATCATTCTGGGGTTTTTGTGAAAAGCAAACTTACGTAAAGCAAGTAGTCATCCAGTCATGTCTTTGCTGGATTGCAGTCCAGAGATCAACACATTTTATGCACACTTCTTTGCATAGCTTTACACAAGCTTCGGAATAAACCCGGCTGCCTTCATTGGTTCGACCCGTGATACCGATGGTTTCGTGTAATTGTTCCTCGTTCACCGGTGGAGTGCTAAGAAAAATGATACGTGTCTTCTCCGATAGGCCCTGAAGATCAAATCATAAGTGACAATCAATCAAAGGTGCCCATGGTTTTATACCAGATGAACGATCAATCAAAGGTGTTCGTAGTTTACTTGGGTAATAAGGAAGTATCATCTTTAGGTATTCCTAATTTACTTTGGTAACAAGCATACATAAATAGAGTGATTAAAACTTAGTTTAATTCTAACTTGAATCCACAAATCTGATTTGATCTCTTCGAATATGTTATACGTCCGTCAAAGGTCCTCCGCATCTCAACGTTTCCGGAGAACTCTTCCACAACCAATGTTCTAGGAGAATATCTATGGAGAAAGAGCCTCTGGAAACCTTACACCTCGGAAAGCAATAACCTTACGACACTACATCTGACAGCCACATGCCCACGTGATCTTTCAGAACAAAACCTGCTGTTAAATATCTACTTAGCCTGCTAACCTACGAGTAGTAATAATAATCCTATGTTTGACACTAGCCCTAAGAGTCACTATAAAACTTCTCCAACAACACCGAGAGAAGGGATGAAACCAAATCACTCACATTCATCTCTTCTCTATTTCTTAATAGAGAAAATATTTCGATACTTGCCAGCAACCGTCTAACCACCGACTATAATTTTCCGCCAAAATAAGAATGATATCTTATATTCGTTCTCATCCACAAACAAACTCAATTTGACCATAAGAGGAAAAAATCAAATTCATCAACCCGAATCCAAAACTAACACGAGTACGAAACATGAACTATTGAAGATAAAATATTACCTGGAGATGCATAGCAATCTTCTTCATGTTGTCAACATATTCAGGAAGAGGTACATGGGGGCCAAGGCCAGATGGGTGGGGTTCAATTGAGTCATTGCCACCAAAGTAAACTATCACCAATGAAGGTTGTACAACACCATCCTTCATTCATATATGTTAATTAAGCAATTTCATTTTAAACTTTTGAGAATAAAGGGTCAAAAAATACATATGAATTCATCCACAAAAAGCATACTATACCTGTGGAAAGACTTTGGTTAGAACCTCTAAAGCACGCCTCGAGTTCCACCCTGCGTATCCTCTCAGTACTACGTCTGCCTATGTTCCATTACACGTAATTATGGTTTTCACAACACTCGGAGAATTTCAACGTATCAATAATTTTATATATACTCGTCTATGTTATATACCTTGCGAGCATATGTATGAGCAAGAATGGCACCCCAGCCTTCGTTGCCGAAACTAAACTGAACGATGGAAGATCCGAAGAGAACGAAGAGAGGTCTGCATGGACCAACCATGTCTATAGGCTCTTTCTCTTTCTGTTGTTGTTGTTGTTGTTTCAGGCAAGAGTTAAAGTCAGTTGTATGTTCTTTTATTGGTTGGGTTTACATTTTTATATTGAGATTGGAATTCAGTTCAATGGATGGGAATTGAGGAGCCTTTGGCTTGGATGGTTCGGAGGCAGTCGTCAGTTGTTTAATAAGTAATAACCATTTAATTCTTGAAGAAGTAGCTAGCAATGGTGGAAAATCATTCATAGTTAATGGTTCATTTGCTTCATAATTACGGGCTTAAATGCTCTGTTTGAGACCAAATTTAGATTGATAAAAATAAGCCTTTTGTTTCTTGGTATAATGACAAATCTGGTCCTTAATTTTATATATTTCTTTTATCAATTTAATCTTAATTTTAAGCTAAATTTGGCCTTAAATTTCTTAGTCAAATCTAAAGGAAAAGATAAATTATCTACGTGTCAATGTTAAAATTAGCTAGATTTGTGTAAATAATCATATAAACTTTGCGACTGCAATTTATTGTGAGAGGTAGATTAAGTTCTCTAAAATACATAAATTCTGAATAAAGTTTACAACTTGAATATGACTGCGCGATAGGTTCCTCGTCGATCCCTCTACTAACATGTGCACGGAAACAAATCTGAACGTTGAGTTCACAATCTCTGTGCCACACTAATAACTATTCTATACTACATGCATTCATTACATGAACATGCTAGCAAGTGGAGACATGGCACACAAATGCATTCAACAACATGTTGAGGCAAGTCTAGTGGTGTGGTTGGAGGAATTTTATGCATCTTAGGACGACACCCTAGCCTAGCTAGGATACTCTCGAGTGTCGAGGTGAGATCCAAAATTTTCTGAATCGGAAACGTACACCCTACCAACTTACTCCGACGAGTCTTGGAGCTTCTGCACCCAATTGGCAACCGAAGTGCCTAGCGCACTAGCTAATCTATATCCATATATTCTATCATCAAGGACGATCGCCATACTGCAAAAGTAACTTGGGTGTCCTGATTGTTTCCCGAGCTTCCCACAATGGCTAATTTTATGTTATCTTATTTCATGTTGTTTCTAGCTGATTTTGCGTTTATTTATTGTTGTCGTTGACCTTGATCCTATTGGATTCTTTACCCAATTCAGCTCGATGGTACTGATACTGAACAGTTCAATATCGATATTGACCTTTGAATATGGGTACTTAGCCTTAGTACCGATACTAAAACTAGCTACTAGAGTCCAAGAAGGCTTGCCAATATCGATACTCACCTTCGAGTATGGATACTCCTGTGCTAGAGTATCAATACCAAGTTTGGAAAAATGACCAAGTATCGATACTCTTATTCCCATGAATATCGTTACTAAAACTAGCTATTGGAATTTGAATATTAAAGATAGTACCGATACTCCACCCTTGAGTATTGATACTTAGAGAACAATATCGATACTCCCACACGAGTATCGATACTCACAACCAAAAACTTTATGTTCAAGGCTACCCAAAGAACAGTATCGGTACTGTTCATCTAGTATCGATATTCGAAACTAGAAATGCCCTGTTTTTGACACGAATATCTAACTCAACATTTCTAATTTTCCCCTTGAGGCCTTTAAACGTTATTTAAGTCTTATACGAGTTATTAGGGGTTAAAATGCTGAATAACCTCATAATTGAAATCTGCCATGACATGCGCATACATGCTTTATGAACTCAACTAACCAACAATGCACTCCTAAAAGCTACAAGTGGTATGGACAAGTTAGAAATGTGTTACCTTAGTACTAATCTACTGGAGAATTCCCCAACTCAACCAAGAACCAACTCCTCCTTGCTTCTTGTCTTGGAGCTTTCTCCTACTTCTTTCACTATACAAAAGTAATGAAACATATTACTAACCTATCTAGAGGCTTAAGTATGGTAGAAACATGATTCCTAAGCTTTATAAATGGATTATGAATTCTCTTGAACTTCCAAACATAAAACCCAACATAAACCCCCAAGTAAGGTTTCTATGGCCAAAATATAAGAAATTGAGCTCATAAGGAAGCTTAGGGATGAAGATTTCATTTCTTACCTTGCAATCTCGGAATGAGGATGAATGGTTAACAAAGTAATCACCTTTGTGAAATTGAGGAGAAGGAGAATGAGAGATGAAGGAATGAGGAGAATATATAAAAAGAGTGAAGTGCTTCAGACGTGAGATCACTCAAAATTAATGGAATTCAACTTTTGTTTAAAAAAATGGTATAATTGCTCTCCTAATCTTTCCCTTTTGACCCAAGATTAAAAATGCCCCTTTTAACATCTTTTGGGCCAAGGCAAGCCCAATTCCACATTCATTTGGACCAAAGCTTTCTTACAAAGCTAATAAATTTAACCAAGACCCTCACGGTTTAGCCCGAAACTCCTAACCCGAGATTTGAGGTATTACTGGTGTGGCTCCTCCATGGCGTGTAGATAAGCAGCAAGTTAGGCTTGACTTGTCATCCAACATGTGTCTAAATGACATGTCATCAATTGGGCAGCAACTTGTTATGAAAGGTCACATTTGTAGAAGGTAACCTTTCATTATTTGAGCCATTTTCCATGTGTTTGAGCTGAAGATGAGCTGGCCATAGATGAAGGACATGTAGGTGAGTCTTAGGACAACTCCTTGTGAAAAGACACCTCTTGGAATGACAACTCTTCGCGAAAAGGTACGAATCCACAAAAATTGGCCTAGACCATATTTGAAGTGCTTTGTGTGGTGGTGGGGGTGGTGCAACTCTCTAACTGAAATGAAGTCTCTAGTTAGAGAAAACCCCCTTTGATTATTGTGAAAGGTTGGAGATGCAAGTCCATTTATGTTGTTGATTTGGATCACATCAATTACACAATAAGATAATCGAAAAAATATAAAATTTATCTGTGTTATAGAAGATTCATTCTCTTAAAAGAAAAATCTTTTTGATTAATGTATTCAAAGAAATGGGCTTGCCCTTGAGGTTAATGCAATCATTCAAAATTTTATATACCTAAAATCTAAAGTGCAAACGGACAATATTACTCTCCTCATAAACTTTAAGGAAAAACGTGAGGAGAGAACTCTTTGAGAGAATTGTGATTTTGATGATGAAATGAGAACAAAAGCCCTTTATGTATAGGCTGAGAGTAGGGATGACAGTATGATCCGAATTTTGCGTGGAAATCTGAAATCCGGTCAAGTTTGGGTCGGATCGGGTTGAATGATATCGGGTCAGGTATCAGGGATTTTTTTCGAGGATTTTTTCGGGTCGGGTTCGGGGCGAGGTATCCCCGCTCCGCCCCGCCCCGATTATATATATATATATAATATTTTATATATTTTATATATTTTATATTAATTATATATATATATAATATTTTATATTTTTATATTAATTATATATAAAATATTTTCGGGTTCGGGTTCAGATTTGGGTATAATATTTCGGGTCGGGTTCGGGGACGGGGAAAAAATCTCCGACGGGACGCCCCGATAAAAAATCCGTCGAGGATCGGGTCGGGGACGGGGCGAGCAAAACTCGCCCCGAAACCGACCCGTTGACATTAGCTGAGAGAAGAGACTAAAAGCGGTTAGAAAATAGTCCATTAAAATTCGATTAATAGATTATCTCCAATTAACTCTTATTTAGTTGATTTAACAGTCAAATCAATCACTGAGTAAACACATTGACATCCTATACAAATTCCTAAAATTTCAGTAATGGATACCTGAAATGTGGTTTGCAGGTGTTTTCATCTAGCTCGACCGGTGAAATTAATATGAATCACACACATATATATATATATATATCAATCGGTCATTCACGCGTGCGTATAAGAGACATGTCCACCAATACTAAAGGATAATATATAAACCATCACTAAACTCTTTTTATTTCCCATGTGAAATTAATTTTGTATTCTTAACATTTCAAACATTAACTGCAAGTTGATACTGATCTAAATTAGTCAACGATAAATAATATATTAATATTTATTCCAAAAAAATCTTCCCAAGAAATTGGCCATCATATTTATGGAATATAATATTGAGCAGCTAAATTTTAATAGTCCAAAGAGTACCAAGGACCGTGGGCAAAATTAAACCTAAAATGAAGGGGAACCTAACATGATCATAGATCATAATTTGGCAGGTGGTGGGAATTCAAGGTCTGAAACATTCACGGTCTTTCCATCCTGATTCACGTGTTCAGAAGTTGAATCTTCGCCGAATTCAATTGGCAATGAGGTGCTGCATAAACTTGGTTCCCAATCTGCCTCTTCTATTGCTTTCAAGATCTCTTTAGCCACCACCTTGTTCCCCTCGGAAGAGAAATGGATGCCATCCCTATAATCACAGGAACCTACATTTATCAACTTCTTTGGATTCATTAAAACACAAGTAAAAATATCGTAGGTCCCTAAACTATGATATAGATATAACACAGTGTATGTGCACATCGTTTATGACTCTATGTACACGTGATACGTGTCATGTTATTATTTGTGTATCTGGCATGTACCATGTCATCACGTATGTATATGTGGCATGTGACATATCATTACTTTGGACTTATAAGACTTGTCACGTCAACTATAAGCATTTATCATTAGTCAACTAACGATTTTAATCCAATCAGGGGACATTTTGCCTCAAAATGAAACGTTGGGATCAAAAGTACTTGAAAAAAGGAATACGAGTAAAAATGATTATTTAGCAAACTTTTGTGTGAATTTTGACATTATGCCCCATTAAAACACAAGCATTGTATAGGACCAAAATGCACTATACTTATCTTTTTTTTTTTTAATAGTTTAGGGTGATTACAAGATAGTATCTTTTCATAATCTTTCTTAGTCATTGACAACGTGTACACGCCCTCATAGGCAACTACTTGAACCGAGAACTTTTGGGGATTAACCACTGAAGCCATTTGATGGGTTCCTAGAGTTATCTATATATGACTTTTACCTTTGAACACAACATGAAGATCTTCTAATCTAAGCAATACAAGGATTTTGATTAGCGTGAAAGAAAACTTACGTAAAACAAGTAGTCATCCAGTCATCTCTTTGCTGGATTGCAGTCCAAAGATCAACACATTTTACACCCATTTCTTGGCATAGCTTTAAACAAGCTTCGGAATAGACCCGGCTGCCTCCGTTGGTCCGACCCGAAATACCGAGGATTTCATGTATTTGTTCCTCATTCACCGGTGGAGTAGTAAGAAACATCACACGAGTCTTCTCTGATAGGCCCTTAACATCAAATCATAAGTCACACAGTGCTCATGGTTTTATAACAGATGAACTCTCAATCAAATGTATCATAGTTCACTTAGGTAATCAGGAAACGTAAAGAATGATCCATATTCAAAATAAACTTCTCAATTTTGATTTGAATCCCTAAACCCTGACCCGATCAATATAAACTCAAACCCGAAACAACCCTAAAAGTAACAAGAAGTTACCTGGAGATGCATAGCGATCTTCTTCATGTTGTCAACATATTCAGGAAGAGGTACATGGGGGCCAAGGCCAGATGGGTGGGGTTCAATTGAGTCATTGCCACCAAAGTAAACTATCACCAATGAAGGTTGTACAACACCATCCTTCATTCATATATGTTAATTAAGCAATTTCATTTTAAACTTTTGAGAATAAAGGGTCAAAAAATACATATGAATTCGACCACAAAAAGCATGCTATACCTGTGGAAAGACTTTGGTTAGAACCTCTAAAGCACGCCTCGAGTTCCACCCTGCGTATCCTCGCAGTATTATGTCTGCCTATATATGTTCAATTAGTACACATAACCAAGGTTACCACACATGTATATTCGATCATAAGTTATTATCTGTTCAAATTATTTTTTAATACGTCGATACACATCCTACATAGACGCAGGTGCTACATCCGGGTAAGAGAATAACATTCTCTTTTACAACTTAGATCACTCAATCGAGAACGAAGTTCTCGATTATGCATATTCGAATACAAATAACGGGTTCTCTGTTTCATCAAAGGAGAAAACCCAGAAGAAATCACCAAATCTAGAGCTATTTTAAGCTGAAATGAAATATGGGCATCAATTAAATCACTCTCTCCTTTGTACCTAAATATTAAACCCAGAAAAATGAATAGATGGAAAGAAGAAAAAGGATTATATATCATATACCTTGCGAGCGTACGTATGAGTAAGAATGGAACCCCAACCTTCGTTGCTGAAACTAAACTGAACGATGGAAGATCCGAAGAGAACGAAGAGAGGTCTGCCTGTACCTAACATGTTTGAAAGCGCAGGCAAAGAACTGTCTCTGTGTTGCTGTGCTGTTGTTTCAGACAAAAGTTGAAGTGGGTTGTTGCATGTGACTTTTGGGTTTTATTCTGGGGATTAAGGAATATTTATTTGGACGACCGACACTCGGCTGTAAGTTTTAACCATTTAAAGGATAAAAAAGTAATATATGTGGAAAACCATTTATGATTCATTTACTCTATAATCATCATTCTAAGACCACCTCTAATGTATCTCAAGTAGATAAAATTTTACTTTAGAGATAATTTCAACTTTAACCCATCTCTGGAATAGAGTCTAGAATATGGAGATGCTATAGTGATACTCTACATCTGACGCAGCACTGTAGCTGCGCTAAATAATATATATATATTTTTTGTTATTTTTCTGATTTTTAGTTTTTAATTTTTTACTTTCTTTTATTTTTTTTTCTTTTTCTTTTCTTTGTTACATTATTTTCTCTTATTTTATTTTTTTTATTTTTTATTGTAATTTTTTACACAATAAAATAAAAATTAAACATAATATAATAAATTCAAATAGATTAAATTACAAGATAGAAAAAATACATTGAAATTAGATAAATAAACATACTAATAGTTAAATATTGTGAATAAAGTAGAGTTGGTGGTAATGTAGAGATAGTACTGGAGATGAATTATTGTTTCATCTTTAGAGTAGAGATAGAGATGCTGTAGAGTAGAGATGAGGGCTGAAGATGGTCTAATATGGGTAAATTATTGTTTATACGAAGTCTTGATGTACAATTATTTAATTTAAAGTTAATTTAACACGCTTTTTAATTAAAATGTCATATCATTTAATCTAAAAGATTATATAAATTTATAATATTTTTAATTGCAACAAAAAAATTATATTACTAGACTTTATAACTTATAATTAAAAGTGTTACATAGAATATAATATTTATAATTTTAATTTAAAATGTTAACCTCCAACCTAAAAAAAGTACACTTTTAATAAAATTTTCAATTGCAACCGATTTTTATAATTTTTTAACTTCATATTAATAAGTTGTATTTTCAAATTTCCAATTGATTTCTCCTACTGACCCATTTGCTATCATCTCTCTCGCCCTTGGAAAACCATACAAGCACCTTTACAGTCTTCTAAGTTTCTTTTCATCGTCTTTCTCTAAACTCTACTCATTAGAGTTATAGCTTTCTATCATGGTATAAGAATTTTCTTTGAAGGACATGGGCTAAATTGAACTTTCCTTGGCATATAATTCAGCAAGGTGCTAATAGTTTGTTGCTCAATCAACGACGTTATACTTTTGATTTGCTATATAAAGCGAATACGTCTCGCTCAAATCCGACATCTACACCTATGGTTGTTCCTCCAAAGTTGAGCGCCGACGGGGGTCAACCGTTTGTCGATGTTCATCTCTATCGTAGCATTGTAGGTGAACTACAATATGTCACTTTGACAAGGCCAAATATTGCCTTTGAAGTTAATAAAGTAAGTCAATACATGAACTGTCCGTGTGAAGATCATTGGAGGGCTGTCAAACGTATTTTTCGGTACTTGCGAGTTGCCATTAGACAAGGGTTATTATAAAACCTTCTACTAGCCTTGATTTGGTATGCTATGTTGATGTTGATTGGGCTGCATCAGTTGAAGATCGACATTTTACAGCAGGCTATTGTATTTACTTTGGCAATAATCTTGTAGCATGGTGTTCGAAGAAGCAAAGTGTCGTGTTCAGATCAACTTCAGAGGCTGAATATACGAGAGTTGCTAATTCTGTATCAGAATTAGTTTGGATTGAGCAGCTTCTCACGGAGATTGGGATGGTTTTAAGTGGAAAACCGGCAATGTGATGTGACAATTCCTCTACTGTCTCTCTATGGCCGCTAACCCTACTTATCATGTTCGTGTAAAGCATGTTAAAATAAATATTTATTTTGTACGAGAACGAGTTCTTGCTGGCCAACTTTTGGTCAACTTTGTGTCTTTGACAGAATAAATTGCTGATATTCTGACCAAGTCAATTCCTTCAGCTCAGTTTTCTCAGATGCCTTGTAGGCTTAGTGTAGTATCTTTGCTGGAGTTATAGCTTTCTGTCACATGATTCATCATCGTAACTCAAAACAAATCGTCTGTTAAAAATTTGAGATAAAAATAACCAAAGTGATATCAATAGATTTAATGTGGTTCAATATTATCTACCTCCACAGACGAGATGAGCAGTAATTTATTATAAATGTATAAATTCACGAAGAGTACAAATACATGATATCAAATGTATCCGAAACCCGATATAGATATCAAATCAAATTTGGAAGCTTGGCCAAGAACTGAGTTGGTTCTCATGGCGAGTAAGGTGTTTAGATCTGTTCAGAAGAATTGCTTTACGGTGATCATCTTCAATATTCCAGAGTTTCTCCATCATCAAGGTCTTTGGCAAATATTCGATAGATATGGCGAGGTGATTGATTCTTTCATCCCTAACAAAAGAAGCAAGGGAGGAATGAGGTTCGGCTTTGTTCGATTCACCAGATTAGAGGACGCGAGGAAGGCAATCAACTGCACTGATAGATCTTGGATTCAAGGTAATAAAGTTAGAGTTTTCATGGCGAGATTCCAACCTTGTGACGCTTTCTGGAGAAAGAAATTTTCTGGTCAACAGTTAGCCGAGGCCAAGAGTAGAGTGGAGGATGATAGTCATTCAGAGGCTCTCATTATCGGTTTTGTTGACGAGGATAAACTCTTAACTCTTAGAGATAGCTTGGTAGGTTGGTGTAGAAAATTTATAAGAATGAAAGAGTTAGCTGCTATTATGCACAAGGAAGGTATTTTAGGTCCGAAAATTATAAGGTTAAGCGGGCTAGCAATTCTTATCATTTTTGAAGATGAAGAGAGTAAGGATTATACTCTAAATTATCAGATGGAGGCGTTGAAGAAGTGTTTTGACAAAGTGGAAGTGTGGTCGGAAAATTTCTAGTGCAGCAGCCGCCGAGCATGGCTATCGTGCAAAGGGATCCCACCGTTTGCGTGGAGTCATTCCACTTTCAGAAATATTGTAGGAAAATGGGGAGAACTTATATCTATAGAGGAAGGGACCTTAAATCCTAGCTCGTTTGATAGGACAATGATTCAGATTATTACGAACTGCCAAGCTTGATTGGAAGAAACCTTGGACTTGAAAGTAAGGGTACGGAGTTTTACAGTATTCGTTTCTGAATTTGAACCTTGTTTCAGCCTAGAATATGTTTGGGTAGATTCATCTTTGGTTGATTCGTCTTTGTTGGAAAATGTTGTTGCCGAACCGTTATCCACGGTGGATGAGATTGTTGGTGTCGCATCGTTAAAGTCTTCCGAGGTGGAGAAGAATCAGTTGTTCATAGATGGCTCACTGGTGGGTGGCGAAGCGTGGTGCACTGATGTAGTGGAAACAGCTGATGTTCCATTTACTAGCGAAGAACATGCTGTTGGTATAGGTCCCAATGTTGATTATAATATGGTTAATCCACATGCGTCGCTCTACTAGAGGAACGTTAAAGATTGTGTAATGGAGACATCTTGTATGGGGTTAGTGGAATTTGAGGTGGAAAGGAGGAAAGATGCCGAAGAGAATATGCAAGATGCATCGATTTTAAATTTTATTGGTCTTAATTTCTAACTTGTGAATGCTAGTGGTGGGCTTCAGGTGCTTAATGGTGTAGTGGACGAGGACCCCGCAACAACTTCTTGTTCGGTGGAAAAGGGGCAATACAAGCAGACCAACCAGACTTTTCCCATTTTATCAGATAATTTTTGTCCTTCAAAAGCTATTAAAGGTTCACACGTGATTTTAAACAAAATTGTTTTAAAAAGAAGAAGAAGAAGATTATAAGGCGGAAAAAGTCGAGTTAAAGTCTAGTATTTGAAGCGGTGTCTAAGGTTTGTGTGGGTGAGGATCTGGGTTTGTTTCGAATGTGGCGGTGTTTTAAAGTTTGGAGCAGATTGAGCTTTCGGATTTCAAAATTATTGTTCTCGTAGGTGATTGGTTTATCCGCTTTGGACTTTGATGTATCCTACCGTTCAAGACTCTAGTTTATTTACTGTTTGATTGGCGATGAAAGGAATTAGATCAAGCTTTGTACGGGTGGTGGCCAACGCTTATTTTTGGTGGATATCCATTAATTCGTTGCGTCTGTTCCAGCTCGTATGCTTCTCCATGTCCCAGTGTTGGTTCTTCGTTTTATATTATGGGTGCTGTTGAGGTTATATGTGATGTGTTGGTTCTTTACTTTGTTTATGTTGTCTGTGTTTTGTACTGGTTAGATCCAAATTCATTTTTATGGTTCGCCAGTGTAGGTTTACTTATGTACTGGTTCAGGGATTATTGTAGGGATGGGGTATGGTGTGTATGTTATAAGAGTTTATGTGTTTTACGATCCTACCACCTCAAGGTGCACTCTTTTTCCTCCATTTTTAACGAGGTCCTTGAGGTAGTGTACTTTGTTCCTCTTAATACAAAGTACTATCTTTCAAAAAAATATATATATATAGATATCAAATCTAGATGGATCCCAAAAACTCTCAATATCCCTACAAAACTGTTAAATTACATCTCTCCAAAATAATTATCTCTCAGATATTCTAAAGGCTAAGACATTAATTTTATTTATAGAGCCAATTACTTGATCATCAAGAATTCTTGTCTAAAATAAATATTTACTTAATAAATCTAATTACCAAATAATCTTCGACCATTAGATTTATAATAAAATCAAATTTAATTACTATTTACTCCCTTTATCTCATTAAATTTATCTCTTTTATATTTTAAAATTGTCTCATTTTAATTGCCCAAAAAATCAATAAATTTTACTGGGCACATTTTACTTTCTATTTTTTTTTTAGTTTTTCAACAAAGGAAACTTTAACTTTTTCTCCATTAGTTTAGTATATTTGTTCTTTTCTTACTGTTTAAAGACCTTAGTGTAAAATATTGCCTTCACATCGACAAGTTCAATGGAAAACTTTTAGGGTTTATTGGGGAAGTTTTTGAGATTCTTGAATTAAATTCTCCTTTTCATTTAGATTTAAGGCTTGGGTCAACCCATAGCCATGGACTTTGAAAGAAGAAGAGGGAGAATAGTTAAAGGAGTGAAGTGTCACGTCAGAAAAATTAATAGGAAGTAAAATCAGTTACTGAAAATGAATTAAAAGTTTTATGATTGTATTGTAAGTTTCGAAAGTTGAATAATCAAAATACAAATATCCTAAAAATTTAAAGATTATTTATATACTTTAACCTTAAATTTAACTCGACTAAAAATAATTCAAATAAACTTCTAATAACAATTGTTTGCTAACGTAAATAACAGTGATTGTCATCCCTAATATTGAGAACTCTAAGAGGATATCGCAATTCTGACCAATCAGTCTCTGCACGGTGCCGTACAAAATTATTACAAAAATTCTTGTCAACCAGTTGAAACCTCTTCTTCCAGATTGAATTTCAACCAACCAATTTGGTTTCGTGCCTGGGAGGCACATAACTGATAATATTATTTTGGCTCAAGAAGTGATCCATTCCATGAGTATCAAGAATGGCGATAAGGCGTGGATGGCAATTAAGAAGGACTTGGAGAAGGCTTATGATAGACTAGATTGAGACTTTATTGAGGAAACCCTTGTTGCGGTTGGACTTCCTCAAAACTCTATTGAGTGGATCATGATTTGTGTTAAAACGGTATCAACTCAAGTTCTTTGGAATGGCGATGTTTCGGATAGTTTTATACCGTCGAGGAGAATTCGCCAAGAGGATCCACTTTCTCCGTATCTTTTCGTGTTGTGCATGGAACGTCTGTCCCATATCTGATTCTTGGGATTCTAGACCGGGAGTGGGAAACAAGAGTGAACCATGTCCAACGAGAAGCGAATGCAGTGACGGATCAACTAGTTAAACTTTCGAGAGGCGCACCAGTAGGGGAAGCGTTTCTCCACGTTCCTCCCGAGGAAGTTGTTGCTGTGTATGAATTTGACCAGGCTTACATGTTCTAAGCGTATCCATCTGTATTAGCGAGAAGAAAAAAAAATAACAGTGGTCCAAAGTTGGTATGTGGAGGAGCCTTCTCGTTATTGATCAAAGCCTCATCCAAAAATGTAAGGCCAGGAGACCCGCCACTTGTTTGTAAAAATGCGCGTGGGACTTCCAACTTCATCATATTGCTGAGCAATTATGTGGATTTCAGCCACTTGGGACCAACAACCAAAAACTCTTCCGAAATTCTGGCGCTTTCTAGTTCGTTTTCTGTAGAATGATAAAAGATATATCCGATATTTGATTAAATAATTAATGTAGTCTTTATTTTTTAAATATTTTGATCTTCAACGATTTATTTTAGCATCAAAATTCATTTTATAATTAAAAATCATTACCCAGCAAACTATAAATGTTTTTCTTTCTAACACTGTTCTTCATTGATTTTTGTAGTAACGGTGTTATGATTAGATATTTAAAAATAATAATAATGAATGGCACCAAAATTTTCTTATTTTTTTGTGAAAATACCTAAATCTAAACTCTCATATTCGTGTAAATTACGCTTTTTGAACCGAGTCACCCAGGGAGAATAAAATTCCCTTAACTGGGATTATTTATTATTAATATTTTTGATTAATTTGAGTACGTGTAAAGCTGGTTAAAGATAACTCTCAATCATTTGACATCATTTTACATTGAACACTCACACCTGAACTCGAACCTCAAGGAATAACAACAATTGTAATATACTTTAAATCATACAATAATATAGAACTGTCCTAAGTGGATTAAATTCGAAATCAATTGTCAAATAACAATCCAGGACCAAACAACTTATCGGAAGTTATTTGATTCAGACGTTTTATCATCTCATCTGTCAAACAATTCTTCCAATCTCCAACTATTCCCTTTCTGAAAAAATGGCGATTATCGACCAAGCTGTCCCTGCTGAACTTGTGCACACTTTTCCTATTGACTTCCAAATTGCTCAAATTCTCGAAACTACATAGCTTCACTATATCTTCAACCACTCCCTTGTTCTCTTCTTCTAATGAGAAAGGGTAACCAAGAAACTCACCTAATCTCTTGACAACAGCAAGGGGCTGTTCCTTCAAATCTTCATACTTCAAGAACAGTATGTTTTCTGGGAATTCCGAGCTTGCTTTCCAATACCCTAAAACTTGATCCCAATAGGGTCCATAATGGGATATCCCTTGACAAAACAACTCGAATGCTTCCTCGAGTGAAAACGGCGGCAATTCTTTGGGCCTCAGCTTGCTCAAAAAGTTCCATTTCGAAACGAGTACGTCCTTGGGGTCCCTGTAGATGTAAACGAACCTGCAACTAGAGACGGACGGACGTAAAATTTTACGTTAACGGATTATAAATAGAAAATATAAAGGAAGTATCTAAAATATACCTGCTACTTCGGTTAACGATCATGGAATCCGGCAACAAAGCATATGGGAGATGCGTCGAGAGGAGTCGTGGCGTCGGGGATGCATCGAGTTCGAGGAAAGACGGGTCGTTTTCGTGTAGGTAAGCGTCCAAGAAAGGGAAGCAATCGTGGGGATTGGCGGTGAGCAAAGGGTGGTCGGAGAAACCGTAGCGGGTGCGGTTGACAGTGGCGAAAACGAGTGCCTTGAGCCAAGTGGTGCCGGTTTTCGGGAACGAGGCTAAGAAGATATCGGATGGTCGAGGCTTGAAATGATGTTGGATCCACATCAAGTTGTTCAAACCCTTGGGGGAGAGCCAAAAGCCTTGGTATTGAACCAGATGTTCAGACATCCAGCCTTTGCCCGTGGGAAGATTGGGGAATATTTCTCCATGATTCTCATCTGTTGTTTGGATCAAATCTATATCTTTTTGCTCACCGGAGATGGTGTGACTCTGCTGAGAGGGTACGAAACCGGCCATGGCAAGCCAGACGCTATTAGTCAATTATTTGGGTTAATGGTGAGACAATTTTTGCAACCCTAAATTATAGCAAATGCAAAATTTCACTAGTCCATAATTTATGTGTGAAACTACACCATAGGTCACTCTTGTTTAGATTTTTCTTTATTTTGATCATCAAAACTTCAAAAAATAAAATAAAATTTTTGGTGTTCTCGTCGACCAAAGAAATTAACCATGTCCGTGGAGAGGAATAGTTATGTTTTTCCTTCATTTAAGGAAGAGATAAATTGATTGTTTTTTTTTTAATTTTAATTTATGGTTTAAATTAAAAAATTAGCTCTTTTCGTTAGCATGTAATATTATCAACGTTAAAGGAATGAACGACTCAATATTAAATTATAACAAATTGATAATATAAGCGGTCAAAATATTATTTTTTAAATTTATTTAAATAGACAAAATTAAGAGTTTCGATTCTTGACGATTACGAATGGAGTAAATTGGGTTGGGAGGGTCGCCCTTGCCTCTACAGTACTCGATCCAAATTAATTGATCCATTATATTTTACGTATATTTTATTTTAGATACAAAACATTAAACTATTTGGAAACTTTAATATTTTGAAGGGTGAACTACATATTTAATCATCCATCTATTTTTATATTTTTATTTTTGTTATTTAATTATTTTTTTAAAATTATATCTAATATTGAATTTTACTTTTATTCTGACCATCAACTACAAAAAAAATTAACGATAATATTAATCTAAAAATTAAAAAAAAATCACTTCACCATTACCGGTAATCATCGGTAAGGCATCGCTCGAGAACATATTGCCGATTTTATTTTATTTTTGTTTCAATTATTTGAAATTACCTTAAAATAATTTAGCATAAATTACATGTATAGTATCTAAACTATTAGTTTTGATACATTAACTTTCAATTTTTTCAAAACCACACCTAATGTTTACTTTTTATTTCATTTTAGTACCTTTTAAATATTTAACGTTAATATTTGAAAAAAATTAAAAGTTTAGGTACTGAAACGAGTCAAAACTAATTGTTTGAATACTAAACGTGTTATGTTTTTAAAGGTGCAATACTAAAATGAAATAAAAATTAAATGTTCGATAATTTATCCCAATAATTCATTTGAAAGCATGATGTGTCATCACATGGAAATATCATCACTAATTATTAATTAATTATTGTAAAAGCAAGATTCCTGGATTGCTTCATAATTTAGTCGTTATTGAAATCATAGATTAAGTCGTCAGTTTTCATGAGTTTGTCTTATCAAGCTAACAACCTTTACAGGACGTAGAGGCAACTGGTTTCTATTAGGATTTTAAAATACTCAATATAAAAGGCTTTTTTTATTATAAAAAACCCCACTTTTATTCATTTATTAAAAAAATAATCCCCAAACAAAAGTATTTGGAAATTTAATCACCATAAATCAAAATTGTAAAATAATTTTTGGTTTTGATTTTGTGAGAAAGGGTTATAAAACCCAAACAAACCATTGTAAAAAATATTGTAAACAGGTGTCTTCATCATTTCGAAAACAAAAAGAAAGCAATACAAGGTCCCCCCCCCCTATTTTTTGAAGAGATAATTTCGGTCTCCTTTTTCTACTTCTCTGTTTTGGGTGTTGTGTTTTCAAGGCAAAATAAAGTAGATTAGAAGTGAAATCGATGATTTACGTTGTTATTTCCAGTAGGTCATCGGAGTAAGGGACGATCGTCGATCGTCAAGTTGTGAGTTGAAGAGTGATTTCTTTATCGTTTAGGGGACCGGTCGTTTTGTCTCTTGAAGCTCAGTTTTGGGATCCGGATAACAAAGGAAAGAGTTTGGGTTTTGTTTGGATGGCCCTGGGTAGTCCGACCACCGCTGGGTAGTGAGTCAGGGACGTGAAAGAGCTCTCGGTTGAGGGCTAAGGGAGTTTAGTTAAGAAGAAATAAGAGTTGTCGGTACGTTTTGGGCGTTGTTGGAGTGTGTTCGGCCGTCCTTGGGGGCGATCGGAGGAAGGTCGGCGATATTTTGGGTCTTTGTTCTTGTTCGGTCGGAGAATAGACGTTAAAAGTTGAATGACCAAAATGCAAGCGTCCTAAACGTTTGGGGACTATTTATATATTTTACCCTAAATTTAATTATAAATATTTATAATATTATGATATTATTTGATTCCAATTCAAATGGTTTTTTATAACCATATACAATACATGTGTATTTCTTCATATTTTTTCTTAAATGTGATATACATTTATGATACAGAGTCGAGAGACTCAACTCAAACTTGAAAATCAATCCACTAATTATTAAAAATTTTAAGTTATCTGAGTTACTATTCGGGTCGTATTTTACGACTCGGTTTGAACTTGAAATTTTTTCAAGTTTATGAAACTACAACTCGAAGTTAATTCGAGTTGAGTTTTCTCGAGTCAAATTGAGTCGGAAAAAAATCAATTTTTCAAGTCGAATCGAGTTTTGTTTACCTCTAATATAGGGCAAAGATACTACGATAATGTTGTTGGGATTGTTGAAGCTCAAATGACAATAGAAAAAAGTGCCAATAAGGGTGAATTGACAAGTTGTGTTTTGGGAGTAAGGAGAAATAAAGTATAGACAATTTGACACAAGGATTTATAGTGGTTCAACTCTGTCAATGAAGTTTACATCCACTACTTAAGCTCCTCACTTAGGATTTTTCAATAAATCCACTAATCTGTTTTTTTTTTCAAGGACAAAGAGATAACATTTACAAACTCCTTAGCTTTTCAAATGCTTAGCTAGAACCAAAACACCTTTTCAAGAGGAAAAAAGAAGTAAACAAAGAAACCTCTAAAAGGTAGGTGTTTATAAATTAAGCTCACTAAACACTAACATGAACAAGAGAATAGAAATAAAGGTGAAAAGCTATTTTCTTGTGTTTAATTGTTTGGATAGGTGTTCTAACCCTTCTTCAAGTGTCTTGAATTTGTGTTTATATGTTAGATCGTGTTTGCGGCCGTTTATAGCCGTTGAGAGTGATTTGGAGTCGTTGGGGATGTTTTCTCTGCAAAATAAAACTGCCCATTACAGAGGGTATCGATACTCCTATAGGAAGTATTGGTGCTACCTTTGTAATATTTAAATAGAACTAGCTTTTACTAGCCGTTGGGCCTGATGATATCGATACTAAGCCTATGGTATCGATACTAATATGTAAAGTAGTATTGGTACCCCTTTGGGTATCCTTAGCTATTTTGCATTCTGGAATTTGAGCAAACTAGTAGTATCGGTACTACCTTGAGAGTATCGATATTTCTCTTACCTAGGGTATCGATACCAAATGAACAATATCGATATTGTTCATATTGTATCAATATTGTAAGAACATTATCAATACTATGTACGTTGAAAATCAGTTTTGTGCTCAAATTCACTTTTAATGGACTTTGAATTATTTTTTAAAACTTTGAATAAATTCAATTCAAGTCCAAAAACATTTTTGCATTAATTTGTTATATCAAAATATTATAAAACATGGTTCAACAATCTTCCCTTTTTGATATAATAAAACATTTGAAAATTTGTTTTTGATAAAACCCCCTTAATAAAACATTTAATGAAAATATTCTCACTTCTATATTCCTCTTAAACTTTTTATTATTTTTATTGATCTTTGAAACTATTTTATTAATCTTTTAAATTTTATTAAGAAAATTTTATTGAGAATCGAGTTTGATGTGCAAGAGTAGTAGCTACATATCACTTTTGAATGAGAATTTTTTATTTGAGATTTGCGTTTCATGTTAATTTGTGTTTATAAAAGAGGTGAATTTTTTCTTTTAAAGTTAATTAAAATATACAATATATTATCTAAATGATGGCAATTAATGTTAATCATATAAAACAAAATATTAGGTAGTAACTTTATTTTACAATTCTTCATTCAAATAATTTTTAATTGTTTTTAAAAATTATCAAATCAAATATGAATATAATTTTTTAAACTAAAAATTAATATTGAATCATTAAACTATTGTTAAAGGTGATATTGATATTCATTAAACTATTATCAAAGTTGATAGCTACCTAGGAGTACAATTAAAAAAATATAATAAAACATATATTATTTTACTATCCAACACATTGTTAAATATAGATAATAACAATAAACCACTCATCAATTTTTACTCATTTATCAAGTAAAAAATCATGTCAATGTTCGATTCAGATTAAAGTTGGGTAAATTAAAGTATGTTTGCTTTCGGTTTGAGTTACTTTCAGTTAGGATTAATTTATGTTCGGGTTACTTTCAGATCGAGTTAAATTTGGTTCGGGTTAAAATTCGGTTTCGGTTCGAGTTATTTTCGGTTTCGATTCGAGATACTTTCAGTTTCGCTAAATTTTGGATCGGATATGGGTCGGGTCAGGTGTGGGTTGGGTATCAAATCAAATTTGATTATAATACTCAGGTTAATATCAAATATTTGATCAGATAAATTAATTTGAATAATCAAATTCGGGTCAAATTTACTAGGTCTAATGTGCTCATCATCACTCATTGAGAGTGGAAGAATCATCCTTATAAATAATGCTCAGGATCTGCATCTAAGCGTTAAAAATACGTCGAATCCATGTTCGAGTACAGATTGGATGATTAATAAGGGTTAATAAAATTCATATTAGCTATTTTATTCAAAAACAGAATCATACCTATTTAATACCAGGTGATGAGATGGCATAGGATTTTCTAATAAATTATTGGTTGATTACAGCTTTTTTATTTTTTAATTAGGAAAAAAACTGGATTTTTTTGGATGGTGAAGTAGGTAAAATTTTAAATTTAAAGATTTTTTTACATATAAAAAGTATAATAATAACATGAAAAAAATCTAAGATTCTGGAAATTGACGGCAGCTTGAACGACACGTACAAAGTAATCGCCTTTGGTTTTTGTTGCTATTTTCTTGGATTCCAAATCTAAAATAATTTTTCTCTAATTTATTTGATCCACTCATCAGGATAAATTTGATAATAATTTCTGGTGTGAAAAAGAAAGATGGGTTCCTTTGAGGAAGAACCATTTGTATTGGAGAATGGAAATAGCAAAGCTTCCAGGAAGGAGAGCCGCCATGGAAAGGCCTTAATCACCATGTCGTCTTCGTTGCGGAAGAAGTCAGACTTGTCGCTTGTTTCGAGGGTCCGATATCCGATGCTTCGGCATTTCCTCGCCAACCTTCAAGAGGTCGTTTTAGGGACTAAACTCTCGGTTGTGCTCCCCGTTATTCCACTCGCCTTCATTGCTCGGTGCTATGGCTTTGGAAGAGTGAGTTCGTCTTCTCATTGTTTGTTTATATTCCCCAATGGAAGAACTGCTAACGTTTATGATCGTTTCCTGTAAAACAGTCATGGGTTTTTGCATTGAGTTTGCTGGGAGTTTCTGCATTGGCTGAACGAATCAGCTTTCTCACCGAGTAAGCCAGATTTTATATATACTCGTGCTTGATCCTGTGTATTATATATAATTTCTTCCTGTTTATCTTGTTTTCCTATGTTGCAGGCAAATTGCTTATTTCATCGGTCCAACAGGTACGTTCATATGTAGGGGTATTCAATCGATTAGTTCGGTTAATCGATCGAACTGAATTACTTAAAATTTATTAATTGAAATATTTTTAAACCGTTAATTGAACTAAAATTTTTTCAAAAGAAATTAACAGAATCAAATTAAGTTCAGTTATTTGGCCGATTAATCGAATTAATCAAAATTTATAAATAATCAATATTAAATATTTAATATTGTCAGTTTATTTGATTAATTCAGCTAAAACTGAAGTATTCTAAAACTATATAATATGTATAATGTATTAAATATTTAGTAATTTCAATTAATTCGGATAATTAATCGATTTTGAACTAAATTAAGTGATAACCAAAGTTTGAAAAAAACCATGAACGTTAACCAATAGATCCCAAAATTTACTAATTGATTAACCGACATAAATTTCAGTTTAATCGGTTTAATTCTATTTTAATTGAGTTATAAATACCCATATTCATAAGACCAAAGTTTCAAGGTTTGAGCATCATAGATGTTAGGGATGTAACCATTCAATTCAAAAGATTGAGAGTTATCTTTAAATAAATACTGCATTGTACTTGTCTCATATTAATAAAAAAAATTCAAGGTATGGGTTATACTAAGGGCGTAAATGAATAGAGTTTTGACTATTAAAATAGTGTTTGTTTATTTATTAGTAAGTCAAAGAAAAATGGTAAAATTTTACCATTAAAATGATAAAATTTTACCATTAGTCCTTAATTTTTTAGACTTCACAGCTTGAACTACAAAGTTAATTTTATGTTCAATTTAGTTCTTATTTTTACTAATATTTAAAATGTAAAAAATAAAAAGAAATTGAGAACTGAATAAACGAGCTCATAAACAAGTCAATAAAGGAGCTTATAAATGAGCCAATAAATGAGTTTGTTCGTGAACATAAGCGAATCGAACACACATCTGTTCATGTTCGGTCGATTATTAAATGAGCATAAAATTTGTGTCCATACTCATTTATTTAGCTTAATAAACAAACATAAACGAACGGTTCACAAACAGTTCGTTGAACGCTGTGTTTATTTACAGTCCTATGTTAGACCCAGGGACGGACATAGAATTTTTAAGATGAAATCGAATTTTTAAGTTCGGAACTTGATGTGAAGCACAAATTTTTAATATTGCAGTGGGAGGGTTGGTGAATGCAACCTGTGGCAATGCCCCTGAGCTGATCATAGCAATTTTTGCACTAAGACAAAATAAACTAGATATGGTCAAGTATTCCCTGCTGGCCTCAGTTCTATCAAACATGCTTTTGGTTCTGGGGACCTCTCTCTTATGTGGAGGTATTGCCAATCTCAGAAAGGGGCAGAAATTCAATCGAGTAAGTTACTTGCAACACAAATTATTTCATGATTTCTACATATTTGGCTCAAGAGTTGAGGCTGATTTCGATGTTGAACGCTTTGTTGGATTTGACAGAGACAAGCCGAAGTGAATTGTCTTCTGCTGCTGCTTGCATTGCTGTGCCATTCGTTGCCATTGTTGTTTCGAATGGGTGGGGGACCGGCTGCTGTCACGGCCGAACCGACACTGCAGCTGTCGAGAGCCAGCAGCGTTGTAATGTTGATAGCATACCTTTCGTACTTGGTCTTCCAACTATTCACACACCGGCAATTCTTCGAAGCTGAAGAGGTAGTCCGATCGGTGTTCATCAGTTCTAAAAACTATAGTCTAATGTGAACTGGATACTTGAAAGGTATACATATGAAGCAGATATTGTAGAGTACACTTTAGCTAATAAGTAAATTGAACAGGAACAAGAAGATGAGGAAGTTGGAGAATCAGAAGAAGCAGCGGTGATCGGATTTTGGAGTGCAATTATATGGCTAGTCGGACTCACCGCTCTCGTCTCTCTGTTATCAGAATATATTGTCGAAACAATTGAGGTAATCATTGTTCCACCACCAATTTCTCTTAGATTCTTATTGGCTACCCCCTAATTTCTTGTTGATTAACCATGAAATGTGCCATATGGTGGCACTTACAAGATGCATTGTACTATATGCTTGTGTACTTGCTCGGACTCTTCATTTTTCTTAAATTACAGGATGCATCGAATTCATGGGGAATTTCCCTTAGCTTTAACATCATGATTTTGCTACCAGTCGTCGGGAACGCACCGGAACACGCAGGAGCGATCATTTTTGCTTTTAAAGACAAACTGGTAATGAGCCTGAGTTACTTCCTCCTTTAGTTTTTGGCTCTCAGAAGATTAAACAAAATGTTGACAGATACTTTGAAACCATCACACAAATGCAGGATATCTCTTTAGGTGTTGCATTAGGCTCTGCAACTCAAATCTCCATGTTCGTGGTACGAACTCGTATTTCTTAATTCAAACTTTCAGTGTGTACGAACTCGTATTTCTTAATTCGAACTTTCAGTGTTTTTCAAGTTATTAAGAAGACCAAGCTTTCAGGTCCCTCTCTGCGTGGTTGCTGCTTGGACTATGGGGATCAATATGGATCTTAATTTCAATCTCCTCGAAACTGGCTCGCTTGCGCTGTCGATCGGTGCAGTTGCGTTCGCTTTACAGGCAACAACAACAACTCTTCATTTCAGTCAATCAGACACACACATATATGCACAGGGATTCATCATTGACCAAATTTGAGCTAAAATTTTGCAGGATGGTAACTCACACTACCTGAAAGGACTGATTCTGATACTGCTCTACTGTGTCATTGGAGCTTGCTTTTTTGTATCCAATACACCTCTAAGTAAGCATGAATCAATTCACAGCTATTCATCACTTGAACACTCTTGTTTCTGACTGATTTGTATTTGGATTTTTCCCATTTTTTGACCTTAGACCTAGTGAACCTCACAGACTCTGCAACTAAAGGAGCCATTGATGCCATCTTCAGAGCTTGAGAAAGTAAGTACATTTTTCCTACAAATGGGGTTCAAATATTGAAGGTAAGGCTGTAAAAGAATATAGTTGAGCCTGAGTATTGTTGAGATCAACTCGATTCGAAAAGTTTAAAGTTGATATCGACTCAATTCGAAAGCTCGTGAACTTAAAATTATCAAGCTTGAAAGACGGGCTGCAGTTCGTACGCAGCCACACTGTTCTGTTTCTCTTTGTAATTACGTTACTCTCTCTTGAGAGCTTATTTACTTGTTATTTGCCCACACCACTCTTGAGAACTTTTCTATTCAGAATTTTCATGCAAGAGGTTACATGTATATGTTTAATTTTAATTATCAATATTTTATTTTTTTAAATAAATAAAATTATGTTGTAGGAAATATATTTCCAAAGCATTTTAATAATATTTATTTTTCTTATATGAGTATAAGAATCCGAAAGTATTATGTTAATTTTGGAGGTGACGTCTATTTCACGATGCACCTTTCAACATGAAATTTCTTATAAAATTATGTTTTTAACATGAAAAAATAAAATAAAATTAAAAAAATAATATTCGATCTAAATTAATAAATTAATGAGTCAAATATCGATAGTTATTAAAAAATTCGTTTTAAATCTCTTTTTATACAGCAATCAATTTCCCAGAAGTTGCACAAATCCGATTAGCAACGGAAGTAGTTTTGTCTTATGACAACCTAATTTAATACTAAAGAAAGGCACAACCGAAAATTTTATTAACAAGCAAAACATTTTCGGTTAGACGTAACCTAAAATGTTAACTTTTTAACATTTTCGATTTAACTGAAAATGTTATGAATAATATAACATTTTCAATTATCAACCTAAAATTTTATGAAGGAGGTTTACAATTGGAATTTATTTTTAACATTTTAGGTTTCATATAAGGTTACGCATTTTTCTTAGCTTTAAATTCCTTATACTCTCCCAACTAGCAACGATATTAAATCAAAGGGTTAACTACAACGGTTGATCACTTATATTTTAGTTTTGTCCACTTTTGGTCACTGGTTTCAAATTTCATAAGATATGTTCACTTATATTTTTATTTAAACAATATTTGGTCACTTACGTTTTTATTTAATTAAGATGTGGTCATCCCGAGTTAACTGTCGTTAACATCAGTTAAATATTTTTTATATAATCACACATTTGGTCCATATTATTTACATATTCTCTCAATTTAGTCATACTTTTAATAAATTTAGTTTTCCAATCGAACGATGCCCCACATGTCATGCCAGTAAGGTTGTTCAAAAATATCTGATCTGATTGAGTGGACCCGTCGACTCGCCGACTCAGTTAAAAATATCGGGTATTTATAATAAAAATACTCGATTTTTTTAGGTCAGGTACCAGACATAGTTTCTGGGTCGAACATGGGTCACAAAATGTTGGTTAATCGGGTACCCTCGTACCCAATACCCGATTTATTATATACTTTTTATTTTTCATTTTTATTTTATATTAATTTTTTATTCATAATCCTCAAATTATTTCACTCTAACATTTGAAAAATCCTAATTTCTTAAATTTTGACACCATAACGTTCTAAATTCTTAACTTTTTAAATTTTTTCACATTAACGTTCTAAATTATTTTTAAAATATTTATTTTAACTTTAAAATATTTGAAATTTAATTATATTTCTTTATTTTAAGTTTTAATAAATTTTATTTCAATTATGTAATTTAAATTTTTAAATTTTATGTATGGATTATATATTATAAAATCCACACATTTTAAAATTTAAAAATCCTCATTTAATATTTTTGAACTAATTGTATTTCGTAAGTATATAAAGAGTATTAAAGGCTATAAAAGTATAGTTTAATTTATAAAAATAATATATTTGATAAATATATCGTTTTTGAAAATATTAAAATTATTATATTTAAAAATAAACTATAAATTCTTTTAATCAAATTATAAAAATAATATTTGAGTTATTAATTTTTTTTGTTCACCATAAAATTGATATTTTATAAAATAATAGTTCGACACTTAATCAATATTTTTACTTACCACAAGATAAATTATTTTATTATCCAACAGTGTATTTAAACTTTATATTTATTATAGACTTTTAAATTTTATATTTTTTTATATTTTTTAAAATAATATAATTAAAATAAAAAAATTATGAACCAGGTACCCGTGACCCGAATTATATAATATAATTATATATATATATTAATTTAAAATATTTTTATATCAACTTATTAAATATATTTTATTATTAACCTAATTTAAAAATATTTTTATTTTTATTTTCATTTAAAAATATATAATTTATTTTATTTTATTGAAAGTATGACTAAATTGAGATAATATGTAAATAACAAGGAACAGATGTATGAATATATCAAAATAATTAAATGTTGTTAATGGCAGTTAGCTCGGGTGATCATATCTTAATTAAATAAAAACGTAAGTGATCATATTTTATGAATTTTGAAATCAGTGACAAAAAATGGACAGAATATCTAACATTTCCTTCAATTTGTTGCTTTTGTTATCATTTGTTCACCTATAACATTCTTTGTAGTTTGTGTGGTTCAATCAATGCAGGATCTGTGTCGGATGATTACTTGCAGTACATGTTGTTACAGTTTCCCACAAATGTCACTATCGTTACATCGAGTCTTCTAAAGGCATGTGAATCTAACTCCGGCCATTATCCTTACTGGGGTATGTGATGTAGGATTTTTCACTCCCTCATTTTCGGCTCAACCGAAGACAAAATGCTTTAAGACTTTAAAAGTTATTGCTTTCTATGGGGAGGGGTGTTAGGATTTCGGTTTTCCTTGGCGTGACTAATTGTAATTTGGATTCATTTGGTATCTGTTACTATGAATTTTGTATAGCCATGAGTGGTTTTTTGAGTTTCCAAGTTTGCAGATAAGGCTCCGATATCGTTTTTAGATTAGCTTTTGTCTTGATGAATCTTTTGTTCGTCATTGCTACTCTTTCATTAAGCTTATGTAGAAACCACTTTTGTTCCCCGTGTTGCAGGCTGTCGGTGTTGGTTCTTTCTCGGGAACTTCTGCTGACTGCTGCTGCTGCCATCAGGTAACTTTCCATGATCTAAGTTATCATTCCCTATGTGAAATCTTTATGTGCATGCGTGTAATTCGAGAATTGAAAAGAATAATGTTTTTTTCCAACTCCTCTGTGCGAGGATTCGACTGTGTGGATAGTTTAGAGATAGCAAAAGCATCATTTTTTCTCCTATCAACATGATCTTATATGTCGTTGAGCGATCTGCATGGCTGTTTGCGCAGATGGGTGTCCAAATATGGCACTGGGGCTGTCGGGCGCTTATTCATCGGTCTGGGAAATTTCTAAAGAGCCAACGTTCGAAACAGAAGTTATGTGATGAAATTTATTAATTACTATTGCTCCCTTTTCAGCTGGCCGATTCGGGAATCTCTTTCACGATGACCCTAAACAGTGGCACATGTATGCAGATTTCATCGGCAGTGCTGGAATGTTTATTTTTCGTCGTAGAGTGAAATTATATTAGAGTTGACTAAATTATATTAGAGTTGACAGAGATCACTGAGAATCTTAATTTAACTTGCAGCATATTTGATCTAACAACACAAGTTTATCCTGCCTATTTCCTGCCATTGGCATCTCTTGGCAATCTTGCTAAGGTATTGCTCTGTGCATACTAGTTCTCGTATTCTCTATCTATAACAATCAATGCTCGATAAGAACGTATTTGATGTGAGCTTCTATGCTAGTAGAGCCAGTTCCATGTGCCAGTTTTGAAGCCAGTGAAAAGTTCATGAAATGTTTTTCATTGAAATCTGTCCAGGCAGTAGCAAGAGGACTGAAAGATCCTTCATTCAGAGTGATCCAAAACTATTTTGCATGGTTTCAAAAAAACGGTCTGCGACAGCGATTTCGTCCGCGATATAGCGGTTTCGCCGCAGTCCGAGTTACCCGCGACGGCCGTAATAGCGTCCGCGACGACGCCCGTGACGGACGCAATCACGGTAAAACCGAAATAACCGAAAACGCGACTGCGACCGCGATTTAAAACCCTGCTATTTTGCAATCTCGGGAAATCTCGGAGAGGTGGCTGCTAAGGTAGTGCAAACGTATAGACTAGTATCATGCACGCATCTCTGTGGTTATCGAAAACATTTTGCCTGTACTAGTTACACGGAACATCGATTGTACAGAGTAGAATTTTGTTTGCAGTAAACTAATTGACCTTGATTTTTAGGAGGAGGTTTGGGAAGTAACTGCTCAGCTGCTCGGTCTTTCTCTCGGCATACTGATCCTGATATGTTGTTTAGTTTCTCGGAATACTTTCTGGGTGGAGGTCGAATTTATGAGCTACCATCAGCTTCTAGCTTCAACATGCTATATATGAATGTTGACATTAATAAATGCAGGATACTCCTGGCCTCGTTAAATCATATCCGATGTTGGTATCAATGTGGGCATGCATGCGGCTTTTTCACCTCTGGTTACGTTATTTGTCACTTTCAGCTCTACGAATTAACACGGTATGTTCTTTTTCTTACCGGCAATATCCGGCCAAATACAATAACTCTATGTTCTATCTTGTAGATGTTTATATCCGGCCAGTGTTTGTTTTGGCAACACTAATCTTCTTTTGTTTTGCGACAGATAAATCTAAAGTGAGCTCCTATTCTTGTACAGTCGCATGTTTTGCACTCTAGAGTGCCGGGTATGATTATAGACCTTTCAAACCATTGCTTATATATGGAACATATTGTTCTGACAGCAATGACCCGAATTTTTGCATTTGTCCCCCCACAGGATGCAATGACTGCAATAGGGATGAAAATATTTTATCGTGGCAGCGATTCATAAAGCCTCGGATTATTTTCGGTGTGTCTATGGAGGAGATGATAGGTGGTGGGAGTTCCATTTCGACGGTATTGCCTGATTATTTTCTGGTCATTTGTTATAAGTACTAATAGGAACTTAACTCTTGAGCGTAATCGGCTATAAAATTTTCTGCAGGCCGGTGCTACGAGTGTCTCCGTCTTGCGTAGCATCTGGCAGACGTATTGGCTACACCAGAACTTGAATGTCTCAGAAGATCTCTTTGATCAGCTTGCAAAAAGTTTGTCCGAGATGGATGAAAGGTTCGACGAGTTCATTCAACAACTGGATAAATCTGGATGGGATATTCATCAAATTAGTTTGAGAATCCCCAAGGAAATCTCCATTGATGAATGTTTCGTTTAATGCTCGAATCATGATGATCAACCCGCCACATTTTCACATCCGGAACCAGAGCTGTCTTGTTATGCCTGGAAAAAGAAGTTATGAGTGATCAAAACAGAAACGATCTGCAAGTCGAGGTATCAGGCGATGATCGGAGCTAAATCGGTTTCAGCCGAGAGGCAGCTGCCCTGAAGGATCATTTCAAAGCATCAAATCTGTAATGTTGTCCAATCCATTACTTCTCTATACATGAATTACCATGATTCATATAGGATCGAGTGATAGACGTAAGTCGAACATAAGATCGAATCGAGTCGAGTCTAGTCGAATCCATCATCCATATATGAATCATGAGTTTGACCTTCTTTCACAGTAGGATTTGAGTTTAACCTATTATCCTTATTATAAGGGTAAAATTGCACTTTGATCCTCCTAAAAAATTTATAATTTAATTTCGACCCCTAAATTCGAGTTTCATTTGCTATGTTCCGTTTTGCAAGGACATGGTTGATTTGCAGCTTGATTTAATGTGTTTGGTGGGGGTTGGGGTGTCCTTATCAGAACAAATAATTATGAAAATGGCACCAAACATAGTCTAGAATTAATTTATATTTTGAATAGAAAAATTACAAACATTAAACTATGTAACTATTACTACATTTTTATTTTATTTATAATTTTTTTATGCATATCAATAAAATATGTTAACTTATATAATATTTAAAATATCCGTAATTTCTAAACTTTAAATTAATTAAAATTAAGGTAATTACTCATTAAAGTATCTTTGAATTTACAATAATGACAATAGTGTACGTACTTATAACCTATAGGGCTAAGCATTAAATAAAATCTTGTGATTTTTTGTTTTGTTTTGAATAGTATAAGAATATTTTTTTAAAGTGAACAGTATAAGAATAATTAAAAACTAATATATGTTAAAAATCTTTTTTATTATTAAATAAATTATGCATTTAAATTTAAATTATAAGTTTTAGTCTATTTTAATACATAGATTTTGAATTTTTTTTCAAAAGCATACCTAATGTTTAACTTTTATTTGGTTTTAATATCTCGTCGTTAATAGCATAATAGGTGATTTGCACGTAGCATCTTTTTTATGGGTAAATTTCTTCATCCATCACTCAACTATCTTTTTATTCCTATTTTGGTCACTAAAGTTTAATTTTTTATTTTAATTACTTAACTTTAAAATTACTTATAATTTAATCACTCTAATTTTTAGATTAATTTTTTTATTTTTAGTTATATATTAGTAAAATAATAATAAATATCACATCAAAAAATTATTAATAAAATAAATTAGAGTGATTAAATATGAGAAATTTAAAAGTTGCATAGTTAAATTGAAAATTTTTAAACCTTAATATTAAAATAAGAGAGAGAAAATAGTTGAGTGATGCACGATGCAATTTACCCATAAAAAATATATCGTTGAAATTTTAAAGACGAGATACTAAAATTAAACAAAAATTAAACGTTATACATAATTTTAAAAAAATTAAAAATTTTAATACTAAAACAAATCAAAATTAATAATTTATATACTAAAAATATAATTTACCCTAACTATTAATAATACACGTACATCCTACAGTTGCTTGAAAAGTGAACAGGTGTCCCGGCGGTGGGGATTTATGCTTTCACCCATCACGACTCGTCCCCATACTCTCCATCATGGAAGCCGTTAGATCACATCATGCATCTTTCCACGTGTCGTCTTCTGCTCCCCCGCCTCCCTTTCTTTTCTTTTCTAGTATACACTACACATTCTACACTTACTTTATTCTCACTCGCAGGTGCACACATTCCTCTGTACACCCACCCCCATGGCAGTGACTTGGTATAAACGGCAAGAAAATTTCAAGAGGAGAGAACAAGAAAATACAATTACGTGTGCTCTAAGCGAAAACCACCATGTCTATCCATGAAAGGAAAGCTAGCATAAGAGAATTCTATGGTGTATAATAGGATTCGTTGTTATTGTGCATGAGTTCGATTAGTATAAATCTTCTGATTTGGATTGTCATGACAAAAGTGATCTTTCCTTCATTACTGTAACTTCAAAGGGGAATTACGGACGTGGATGAGAGGAAACATAGGGCAATTTGCACTTCAAAGTTCAAGAAAAGGGATGAAATGAATAAAGGAAAGCTCTCAAAAATCGATTTTGAGAGGGAAGAAGAATGTGGGATTTGCATGGAGATGCTCAACAAGATCGTGTTGCCCATTCGATGTGCATGAAATGCTATCGAACTTGGTAAGCTGTCCTAGCGTGCTTTCTGTTTCCTTTACTTAATGTTATCAAGTAGCTAGCAAGGTGAGAATGATGGGATTAACGGTAAGCAACCCGGAGTTGAACATACTTGATCGATATCAGCTAGACATCAAGACACATATCGGAACATACGATGAAGAACTTAGGAAATCATATGTATAAAAAGAGAGGTTTTTCCATACTATAAAATATAGATTTTATTAATCTCCTAGATCGTTCCATGTCACATACTATATTACCATATGTATGATCTCTTTTCTGCCATCAATGAAATCTATGCCTTTGTAAGGTGTTGGCCGAGGTATCATATAAACAGGGCCGGCCCTCAGCATAGGCGAGGGGGCGACCGCCTAAGGCCCTGGTTTGGAGGGCTTGTTTTTTAAAATAGTTTTAAGTTTAATAATTAAAAAAATATTTTTAAACATCATTTTTTTTTTATTTCAAACACTCAAAAATATGATAAATGTCCTTGATTTTTATAGTAAATTGTGATATTTATAGTAAACTGTGATATTAACTACTTTTGTCTTACATTACTCGTAAGGGGTCATTCTTGAAAATATTTTTAAGTTTAATAATTAAAAAATATTTTTAAACATCATTTTTTTATTTCAAACACTCGGTAACCTAATGGCCTCATTTTGATGATTGGGAGGGAAACTAGGTGTGGGTCTCACTTGTCTTCTTGTCATTGTCATCACGTCCTGACCTAGGGCCATGTAAACAACGGAAAATTTCCTTAAATAATGTTGGGGTGGGGAATAGCTCATTTAGGGTGTAGGGAAATTATTTGTCGAGATAGCATGTTGAATATAGAGTCGGTAGAAAGATGTGTTGATTACTTGACTTCTTTCGGAAGACGTCTGAAAGACACGAAGTCTTCCTCAAGCTGCATGCAATCGGAATGTCAATTCTAATAAAGTAACAATCTAAAAAGCGTCGAGTGATCCAAGTGTCTTTCCAAAGATATTAAGTAGTCCGCGAGTCTTTCTACCGACATTGTAACAAATACTCCATCTCAACAAATAATTCTTCTGTCATCTTAAGCGAACCAGTCTTTTTTTTCAACACATTATTTAAAAAAGTTCTACCTGTAGACAACCCCCCGGCAAACAGGCCGCCAAAAATCCATGAATCGGTCATCCCAACTGTGTGTGTGTGTGATTCAAGGAAGCTGCACGTAGAGGACTCAGAAGAACAAAGAGGGAAAATTCATTCTTTTGAGAGGAATGGTTTTTCTGTTTATTTTGGTTAAATACATGGACGAACATAAGACTTTACATCAGTAGGTATCAGCTTAGGTGTGGAATTATATTATTTCAGAGTGCAAAAGTAGATCATCAATTCAGGGTACGATGTGGAATTATATTATTTCAGAGTGCGAAAGTAGATCATCAATTCAGGGTGCGAAATTATACGAGAATTTAAAATTTCTAAAAATATAACTGTATTCTAATACCCTGGTTCATCCCTAGTTAAATGTGATATTTCAATGTTCTCAAACGTGTAAGATTCCCCCCCCCCCAAATCAAACTCAATAAAATATAGATTTCGCATTAATATGTATAAGGAAATTGATGAGTCGAATTATGAGTCGGTTTTGATGGGTTTTAAAATGGCATGGGGAGAACACGTGTGGCATTCGATAGACATCTGTCGGCTTCAACAGTCGATATTTTTTATACAACTCTTCATTAGTCTAAAATTTAGGATTAGGTCAATCGGTTTAATTAATTTTTAAAATCTAAAATTTGTGATTAAATTGAAACTTTTGGAAGTTCAGAGAAAAATAACAGTCAGAGATCTAATAAAAATAAATATATACGTAATTACACAATTAAAAACAAGGGTGAACTACACGTTAGTACCTAACTATTATCTTAGTTTCATTTTGGTCATTGAACTATTTGTTTTTTTTAATTACACCAAATATTAATATTAGGTTTTACATTTTGATTTCATTTAATACCTTATCATTAAAAAATAAAAAATAATAGAACTGTTGATATAATTTTTTTTAAATTAACGATTAATGTTGTTATTACCTTATAGTGACAAATCAACATCATTGACAGACGATCAAAATAAGATTAAAACTAAATGTAAGATATGATTATAAAAAAATAATTGAGTAAATATGTAATTACCCTAAAAACAATTAAGTACGAAATTGCATCATTAAGAAAACTGGTACCAAATTACGCATTGATACCTAAAAGTTGCATTTACCTAAAGCTAGAAGTTCCTAAAGAACAGTAGCTCAAGTCAAAACACAGACTAAATGTCTGATAAGCCCAAGATAAATTAGACACTATAAATATGTGTGTGTGTGTGAGAGAGAGAGGCCAAAGAGCAAAAAAGTTCGGTTCGAAAAGGCATACCACACAGAAAAACCCGCAACCAAAATAGGTGAGGTGCATATAAAATTTCTACAAGATACTGCTAGACGTCTAAATATCAGATGCCCATAAGAACCTTGAAAACAGAAAGCAAAGGATTATACAAATTAAACCTATCATAATCACACAAATTACTTGTTCTCCAAGTCCAGTTCTCAAGCAGCGGCAACAGAGTCTGGAGTAGTTACGGTTGCGTCTTAGGGGGAGGTGCACCTGGATCGGCACCTGAGGTAGTAGAAGCAGCAGCAGTAGCGGTTTTAGCATCTTTCTTGGCTTCTGCTGGTGGTTTGGGCTTCATGTGGGGAGGGGGATTGTGCTTTAGCTTCACAAGTATCTGTCTCATCCTAGAGAGATCAGTCGGCTTCCCGGGTTTAGGTCCCTGGATCACGACAATAGACGGTTTCTTTTCTTTATCCTTCTTTCCCCTCTTCTCTATAGTTGGTACCTCATTGGGGACAAGTTCAGCGATCGCCTTCCAGTAGTTTTTCTCGGCTTCGGCATGAAACTTCTCCATGTTTTCCAAAAGATTCTGTCATAGATGATCCAAAATACAGAGTAAACACAATTAATTTGCTTGCTGTCCCACAACATTAACAGCCATGACCATGATCATTGTCCAGCACCTTTTATTTCAGAGTTCAACTACATAGCAATTATGCATATCATTTATTTAGAACCAAGAACTTATGCATGGCCATCTACTTCAACCCAACTGAGTATGACAATGTCAACTACCAAGAAGAATAAATAACATTCTAACGCAGTCAATGCTAAACTAACTTCACCAGCATTGCCATTTACAACAGTTAGACAATCATAATTTCATATGATTTTAAGGAAAATTTATTAGATGGGCCCGGTTCACCACGTCATTTGTGATCCCAACTAATAATAATTTCCCATCTCATTTTTTTCCAAAGTGAATCTTCACCTCTTTCCTACATGTAAATAAAAAAGTGAAAAGTTATTTTAAAATTGATGAATGTGATTCAGTGGGGCCATAAATGAAGTGGTGAGCGTGGACCATGAAATAGTTTATCAATTTTAAGGGAATACAACACACGTGCAAACACACTAACATCCACATGATTTTATACTGAAGGTGAACATATAAAATTTTAAGGGACGAAAACAAATTATAATAGAAAATACCAAGTAATCCCTGCTCAATAAATCAAGCTGATTAACTCCTTAATGTAAACCCATATGGATCTTCCTCTACATAGGAACACGAATTAATTGAGATACTAAATCTTAATTAAAAAAAACCACGTAAAATGACTAAGCTTCTCACATATCTTAGTGCTTAACCATCTATTCACGAAATTGACAGTTTGAAGAATATAAATTTTGCTTCAACTTGAATTAAAACACCAAAATTCACAAAATGGAAGTGATGGGCAGAAAATATATATATATATAGACTTCAATAGCAGAAAACATTAGTGTAAGCAGTTGTGAATTTGTTATTGATCTATTACCTTCTCCTTCTCCCTGTTGGAAGCTTTGTTCTTTTCAGCAGCTGTAACTCTCTTCTTATAGAATTCAACTTTGTATTCCTCGGCTTCCTTTATTATTTGCTGCAGCATCTCCTTCTCCTTCTTCTCCTTCTCCCCTAGCCGGATCGCGTTCTGCCTGTGAAACCATGGATTTAATTACCGTTAGATCATCACAAGTTAACTCCCGCACACTTCATCAACTTCTATTTCTATAATATTTTAACATTTTTGCATAAAGTAATAATTTCCTTCCAAATTCTGAATAGTTTATAGAAAGTTCAACTCGGTATTTGGTTAATCAACTTTGAGTGTCATTGTCAATCAACATAAATGAAAAGTTAAACTAAGTTACTCCTTGTACTAAACTTACCTCCGCCACTCTCTCAACGCAGCCCCTCCCTCCGCCTCCATCTCTTCCGGCGGAGGCAAGATCTGCCGATCCGATCCTCCAAACTCTCCATCGAATCCTTTCCCGTTCTGCTCCGTTGAATGAGAAGAGTATCCGGCATCGCTACCATAGATCGGTACCGGAGAATGTGTTTCCGGCATCGGTTGTGATACGAACACGTCATCTCCGGTACCGTACGACTGATTGCAGAACACAGGAGGGGAATCGGGAACTGAGTCGGCGTCGAAGTTAGAGAAAGACTCGAATCGCCGGGAAGCAAGGCGAGGATCGTAGCCTAGGTAGCCATCGTCGTCGAAAGGACGAGACGACATCGTTTTGAGGCGCTTTTTTCTTCCTTCCCGATCCCAAAGCGGTAGCCGCAGTTTCAGTAAATCAGTCTCTCTGTATTCGCTTTTAAAATTAAAATCGAATCAGCGAAACGAAGAGAATCTCAGATGGATTTATAAAGTGCATTCGATTTTACGTTAAGTTGCCAGGTGGCAATTAATGAGTGGTTTTATTTTACCTTTGAATGAATAGAGTGATGCCACGTATATAATTACTCTGGAGCTGAAGGTGTGTGAATATATTTTTTGTTATTCGGTGGAGCACCACCTTGTGGTTGAGTTGGGTCGCTAGTGAGTCACTACCGCCGACTACCTCGAATGTTTCAGCGATTGCGTGCAGAGATTGAGAAGCGTCATTTGCATGGTGCGGTGCTGCGTGAGCTATACCATGCTGAAAAAAAAACTTAATATAAAAATATCCAAATTATATTTCAAAAAAAAATTTAGTGTTTAAAAAAATTTCACTAAAAATAAGTGTTAAAAAGTTTTTTTTTGTTATACTTTTAGTTATTAAGATGTTAACCTATGTTAAAAATCTCTGTTAAATAACATATGTCACATTCTGGTAATTTTAAAAAAATTTATCTAAAATAAAAATATTACTTAAAAAAGTAAAAAAAATCAAATCTTAAAAAGTACCCAAAAATTTCAAACCTTTAATAGTCTGCTGACTTGACACGATAAATTTGTAAAATTAAAATTATATTATTCTCACGTAAATAATATGTGGATTATGTTTTTGTCATTTTCCTTTCATATTTGTACACTTTTGTTAACTAAATTTATAAAGCATAAGTTTTGATCACTTACGTTGTTATTTTATTAATTTTTGTCACTTAGATGTTGAATGTCGTTAGTTTGATGACGTTTTTATTTTTAGCCCCTATACTTTAGACAAATTATTGATTATGTGTCTTTATGTAAATTTAAATTTGTTTAGCGACAAAATTTCAATTTATCAATTTTAATAGATTTTATTCCTAACCTCGTTGTTGTTCATCTTCTCTATGTTTCTTCTTCAGACATCTCTGCTCCATTGCTCCATTTATTTTCTTTCAAGGACTCATGTTGCATTTCAAGAAGAATGCAAGATTTTTCAACTTCCAATAATAAATAATAACATAAGTTTAGAGAAAAATGAGAGGGTAAGCATATGACAAAATGAAGTTGGGTAATCACAAACTAAAATTCAATTTTCAGAGTTTGATATTATAGAATGTCAAATCCAACAAGGAACAAGAAGACAAGTCAATATATCCAAATAACTCGAGAACCATATATCATTCTTCATGGTGATTTTCCCTTGAGAAAGCGCCTCTAGTGAAACATAATCAATGGATCCAAATAACTCGATAATTGAATTCGTGAATTCAACCGCTAAACTCAATCCAAAATCATGATCTTCAACGACGAATATTTGTTTTTGCTCAAGAACAAGTAACCTTTTTATTTTAAATCCCTATAAATCACCATTAACCTTTGTGGGATGCGTAATCTGTTACGCCATCGCGTCAGTCTTCGAGTACTTCATTTCTATGATGATCCGATCAAATAACTCACTGCCAGAGCAGACCTCCAGTACTAAGTGAATGTCAGTTTGATCTTCGTAAATGTCATGGAGGTTGTTGAGTTAATCGATTGACGAATATGGCCAAGAGGAGGGTGAATTGGAAATTAAAATTTTGGTGGAAACTTTTGCAGAAAATTGAAAGAAATTTGCACAGCGATTTAGAGTGGTTCGACTTTCTCAACCAAAGTCTACGTCCACTACCTTAGCTATCCACACTAAGGATTTTCCAAAAATTCACTAATTTGTCTTTCTTTTGAGGACAAAGAGTAACCTTACAAACCCTCAAGAATTATACCCCAAATTCTTGAGAACACTCTCTCCCAAAGAGAACAATACAAATTTGCAAACTTACAAGGAAATCCTCACAAGGTAGATTGTTTGCACAATTCTAGAACAAAGAAAAGAACACTAAAAAAATGAATACAAATGAGCACAATAAGTGTTCTTGAAAACAAAATGAATATTGAATGAAAAATAGGCTTGAAATGCTCAAACTTGAGGTTTGATGCTTTCTCTTTGATTCTCTCTTGATTCTAGTTGCTTGATGTTTCTTATTATTGATCAATGGCTTCTAAGCTTACTTAAATACACCTTGAATCACTTCTGAACATTGGAGATCATTAATGAAGATAATATAGTTGTTTTAGTGTGAAATCAATTAATAAAACAGCTTGGAGCGTGGGGGGAATCGGTACCCTATAGGGGGAATTGGTTCCCTAAGTGTAAAATTCAAATATTTCGACCGTTGAACAGTGGGGGGAATCGGTACCCCTTGGGGGGAATCGGTTCCCTCCGAGCATACTGGAATTCTCGGAGCCAAACCATTCAGGGGGGAATCGGTACCCCCTTGGGGGGGAATCGGTTCCCTCTGAGCAATCTGGAAATTTTGGCTTTGAAATGGTTCGAAATATTTTGTAAAATCGTTTTGAAATTATTTTAAGATTAAAACTTAATTTTATACTTGAGTAAGGATTAAAAATGACATTTGAAAGATTTGGAGTAATATTTTGATATTCGAATAATTATATCGAATATACTTAGAAAATCTTTTTGGAAAATTTTAAAATTCATTTAACTTAATTTGTTATATCGAAAATATCAAAATGTTTTCAACAATCTCCCCCTTTTTGATATAACAAAACATTTTAGTAATTTTAAGATTTTGAAATCAAAAACGACGTTTTTGAAAAATTATTCCCCTTACTTTAACACTTCTCCCATTTAAAACATTTAACACTTCTCCCCCTTTTTGTTAAATCAAAAAGACATTTTAAAAGAATTTAAACAAGGTTTCCAAATCATTTAGCCAATTTGATTATATATAGTTTAAGCTGCTAAGATCACAATCAAGAGAAACGTTAGCCATTAGTTTCATAATCAATATTCATAAACAATGTGACATGGCAAAATTGGTCATATATCTAACATGATGTAAATGATGCAATAAATTTAACTAAACCAAATATATAAATTCAAACATCCAAACAAATCCAAAGTCTAACAATCCTCAAAATCAAACATTCCAAAATATTCAAAATGTTGAAACAATAATCTTTTAGTTCAAAGTTCTAAAGCTAAACACAGAATCAAACATCCGGATCGGGAGGAGGAAAATGAGCTCTCATAGCGGCCATCTCATGTGAGAGTGCATCAATACGTTCATTCATCGAAGCGTTGTTTGTGCGCATCTCTAGGAGAATTTCTAATTGTTGAGCTCCCATTGTGGATAAATGGGACTCTATAGAAGTAAAGTGCGAATTCATGGTAGCATATCGGAAATCGAATGTCTCCATAAAAGATTGAAAATATGGAGGCATTTGATGCGATTATTGTGCTTGCTCCTCGGGCTGCTCCTCGGGCTGCTCCTCGGGCAGCTCAGGCTCATCTTCGGCTTCATCGATGTCTCGCATTAATTGTTCAAGCTCGGGATCATCGTCACCTTCTGGTGGAGCTCGTGAAGAACTAGCTCCCGGAGTATTTTCAGAAGATCGAACCCATTCACCGGTTTCCTTATCCTTTATCCATCCCGCTCTTGTTAAGGAAAGAAGATTAATTTGTTTCTTTAGAGGAAAGGAGGCATCTAGACCAACTCTAAGCCCGGCTTTAGTAAAAAGATTACTCAAAATGCAACCGTAAACTAGAGATGAACAGAGTTTCTTGTTAGGAACAAGATTTACGGTTTTAACAATTTCAGCAAAAATGATCTAAGGTAAGTTTATTTTAATACTATTTTCGAAACAATGTAACCACCAAAGATCCAAGGCTCTAAGAGTAGAATAACGATCTCCGGATGGTCGAAACCACCAAGAAATCATTAGATGAAGAAAACGTTTATGAAGGTCTAAGACACTTGCATTATCCCTTCTTTTATAACGAGAACCTAAAATTTGTTTTTCATTTGAAATACCATCGTTATCTAATCCTAATGCCTTGGCTATGTAAGCCGAGTTAATATGTAAGAATTGTCCTAGGAGATAGGAACGAACTTCTATGGACTACGTTTGAGCTCGGTTTTTGACACAAACGACATTAGAATAAAAGATGCGAACAAGTTGATGGTAAACTATAGGTTCAAGGTCACAAAGTTTATCAAATTTCCACTCTTGTAAAAGATGAAGATATTTAAAATTAATATCTAACATAGATTGACGAGAATGGATACGTTCTTCTCTAATTTTGTAAGATTCGAAATATTGATAATACCAAAAACGATAATTTCTAGGACCAGGATGATTGAAGCATGAATTTTGGATAGTTAGATTGGGATCAACTGGATTAGGATTAGGAATTGGAATTTCAGGAATAGGAGGAGGATTTGGTTGACAGTATGAGCGACTAGATGATGACCTAGCACGTTTAGGATTGGACATGGTTTAGGAAATCGGAATAGAATGAATAACCTGCAATTTAGAAAACACATATATGCAATTCAATCAACCCCAAAACTCAATTGAGTCCTCAATATTTCAAGGTTCACTAAATCAATCCTAATGGGCAAAGTTTTTAAAAACTATTGAAAAAATAAGATTTTGAAAAACAATATATGTATAGTTTTCATAACAACAACATAATTCAATTAAAACACAATAATTTGACAAAAAAAAACGAAAATTTCAAAAATTTTGGAAAATTCTTGTGTTTTTGATGAAATTAGTTGTAATATCTAGTTTCTAATCACTAAACAATCAATGCCCGATCACTATTTCTATCTAGAACTAATTAAAACTAGTCTTATGTTCAAAATCAATGAAATAGAGAGTTTAGAAAAATTCACCTTGAAAGATGAGATTGAGTGGATTTTGATGTTGTTTGCACGATTTTAATGATGCTAGCAGGTTTAGAAGATGATATTTTAAGTGAATTCCGATTAAAAACGTTGTTTTGAGGCAAGAATGGAGATTTGAGAAAGTAGAGGGGAGAAACGGCGGAAGAGAAGAGAAGAGATGTTTTGAGCCAAAACTAAGGGTTCTGCCCGATAAAACCAG